GCGGAAAGTCGCGTTAAAGTTGATGCCGTGGTGTCAGTAAAATGGCACAGATATATATATATATATATATATATCGTCTCGCTTTATATATAGTAAGATAGTACTAGTAGTGATTTATGATTTAGCACGACTGCAAAAAATGTGCTGTCAAGCAATATAATAATGAGGTAATCTTATCTGGGGACCCAAGCTATAATGTTTATAAACATAAAATAGAGACTCGGCGAGCACCGCCCAGTAAAGCCAAAGGTAATCATGATTACTAATGCATTATAAATGATTACGTGATTACGGTGACCGACAACTAGGAACCTCTTATTTCGGCCTCCCACAGGTATCACATCACATGGCCCAATCAGTGACGTATCATTTGTGATGTGATCCATATTATAACCATCCTAACAGCCGGACAACCAAGAACCTGGATAGGGTTCACATGACAGTTTAGTAAGTAGCTGTGTATTATGAAGTATATTAAGAAGTGTTTGAGCTCTCGGTATGTGTTCACATTACGGACGTGAGCCGGGTCCGAAAGGGGCTGGTTCTCGTATCCAAGGATGTGAGCTGGGTCCGAAAGGGGCTGGTTCTTGTATCCAAGGATGTGAGCCGAGCATGCAATGGGAGTGATACGAGACATAAAATCACAAGTGCGAGAGTTGATCAGCTGTTAATATACAACCGCACTTCTGGTATATATACTGAAACGTGAACATGAAGAGTATCGGTTTCAATTCAACATGCCTGCTTTCTCCATAGAGAAATTCTGATAAGAAGTTTGCTAGAGCCGCAAGGCTGGTTGTGTTTCTCGCCTTTGTCCCAGTTGCTGATGTTGAGGAGGTGTTCTACCAAATAACATACTACATCCAAGCTAACTATCCTCAGTTAATGGTTGTGGTAAATTATTTCGAGAAAACCTACCTTGGGTCAGTAACTGTCTACAGTGAGGAAAGGGTTCCTCCCAAGTTTCCTTTGACGTTCTGGAATCACTATTCACTATCTGTTTGAGATTGCCAAATACTTTGGCCATGAGATTGATATTGAGTAATGTATTCTGTATGTAATTATTATGTTATCTTAATTAATGAGTGCAGAAATATATACAGCACAGCTATGAAATCGGTGGACACCTGAATGTTTAAAGTATCTCCAGAGGTTCATAGTTGTCGGGGATATGTAATGATTGGTTCCTAGTTGTCGGAGCTGATTGGATTTCCCAAGCTTGCATGTTAATTAGTTAACTAGGTAAAATTGAAAGGTTCCTAGTTGTCCGTCAGCCCGTGATGGAATACACATAATTTGATTCGCATTCATAAAATATATTATCGCACTTTTAACCTTGGTCTGCATTACCTTACCACTTACGTAACTTGTTAATTTATTTTATTGCTTCATGTATAATAAGTGCAGCCTTATAGTTATAAGTACAGTGCAAATGTAATATATGTCATATGTGATATGGTGGAGTGACAAAAGTTGAAAGTCATCCATTGATTTAATTGATGATTTTAATCCTTCGAGCGTGCTGAACACTAAATCACTTTACATAGTTGATTTAACAGTCGATCTTCGAAATTTTTCTAAAAGGGCCCCCAACATGCAGTTGAGACCAACTTAAATCAATGTATTTTCGGACGCTTATTCCGAATCACCCGGCCTCTATGGGCATGACAAACTGTCTCGATTACGTAATATGAACATATAAGGAAATTGGTATAATTTCTCGTAAGGGTTCGTTAGGGTTTCAGAAAATGTTGACGGATGTTACTCATCTAAATTTCTTCGAAGTAGCTTACCTGGGGACCTCAGGCTATAGCTATTAGTATTATATATCGTGTTCATAAACATAAAATATATATCATGTTCATAAATATAGAATAGAGATTCGGCGGAATGACAGGATGAGCGCGACCCAGTAACGAAGTAGCGCGCGCCGGACTAGTCCATTAAAAATGGACAAAGAAAATGCTTTTGTCATTTGTTAGAGATTTTTCATACGTTTTATGACCCGCCGCGCACGATTGCGCGGCTCCCCTGTATCGTAGAAACTCTTAGTGAAACGACAATGTGGGCCACGACGTAATACAATTGTAAATTGGATTAGGGTTAGGGTTGGGATCAGATTTCGAATAGCCATTCAGGGCCACCAAGAAAACGTGTTTAAAAAGTCACATGCGACAATCAAGTGTAAAGTAATCAATTCATACTCATCGTCTTCAAATTTTTACCCTACTCTTGCCGAAGGCAAAAAGATTGTAGGAAATAAGTAATTGGGTTTGGATACATAATGTGGCCCAACGGTCCTACGTTGAGATCGACGACAAAAGTCTGCTCCTTCGCAATATAGACCACTAACCTACAATTATGTGTATATGAATTAGCATCTGTTATGCTGCGCGCGACACTAGCCATGTGTTAATTAATTACAGTGAAGTTCGTCCTTCGCAAAGTTATTTTCACAATTTTCTGGATTCATTTATTGTTGATGCGCGGCTCTACATTGGTCAAATAAATCGTCATTTTTACCATGCACGAATCCCACTCATCTATAAAAAAACATAGTGAGTAAATATGTTGCACTTTTTTCCAGTCACAGTACTTTTCACTCAAAAGAATTAATGGTATAAGTACATCGTAGGTACTAGGGCCGGGAAAATTGATCGCGCGTGGTTTAACCGCGGCGAAATTCTTGTCACTTGTTAGGTTTGTGACCGATCAAGACTTGCTACACGTTGTAGTTGGAGGCCGCCGCGCGATTCGCGCGTGAAACGAGTTATACAACGCGCGTGTGTCAAACCAAAATGCGTGCCGAGTTGGACGACACCCGACTGCCGACAGTCTTTTATTTAAATATGAAAACAAATATTTTAGAACAAATATTTTTCGAGTCTCACCCGTTAATCTTTACGTCGCACTTGCACTTTTGTTTAAATTTTTATTTAGGCTATTGGCGCGCGATCCGAGAGAAGTGAGCAATATCTTAGCAAGTTAAATAATAGTAATAAAAGTACACGTTTAAAAATTTTTACATGTCATCCATGTCGACCATGACCTTACCTGGGGACCCCAGGCTATGTAGAGATCCGGCGGAATGACAGGCTGAGCGCCGCCCAGTAACCATGACCAGGTCGAAGAGACCTGGTGACCATCTCATGCTCAAGGTACCAAAGAATAAAAAGTCCAAAGTTGATGACAGACGTTTCTCAAGCCATGCACCGATTGCATGGAACTCTCTTCCACTGATGTTGAGATGTATTACTGATACCAACTGCTTCAAGCGAGTGTTGAAGAACCATTTATATAATCAGCTTTGATGTTTTTTTTTCATTTGTCTTCACTTTGCAAGACACCTTGGCTTTTATTTCTTACCGCACTCCATTTTATGTCTAAGATCTTTACCTTTCTATGTCACTGTACCAACCTTTATTATACCTACATATTGTATTGTATGGTCTCTGCTTCTTTTTAGTTTAGTGTGGTTTAAAATAAAAGATGGTTTAATTTTGTCTTAGCCTTATATTGAGTTATACTCTTGTTCATTTTTACACATTTGCTCACATCACTCACAGTCAGCCGCTCTGACATGGTTTACCACCTTCCTTGTGTTGTTGGTTAATCATATGAGCGGGATATAAATACCTCATTTCATTTCATCCCAGGAAAAACGAAAATTTGATAATGTAGCAAAATGAATTTATCAATTTTCAAGTAGTAGAAAACTTAATGGGTGATACGGATGATGATTTATCAGTCTACACTCTATTATCACGTGACTTGCTTAAACTCGTTCTGATAGACTACTCAAACCCCTAACACTTTACTGCTGATTGTAGGCCACGAGGAAATATATTAAGTCTAGCTCCATCAGCCATCCGTCGCGTAAGGGGGCTCTATGTTCTAATCTTTATCCGAACATCTGAGCACTCTACCTCTTTCACTAAATTTTCCAATTGCTATGGCGTCTACTTCTAGAGACTTCTACTTCTTGACTCTACAATTACTTTTCAACTTGAGATTCTTATTGAAGACCATCCCTGTTCCTTTGCCACTAAAATGCTACCTCGAGTTCGATAAGACACCTCAGCCACAATATCTTATTTCTTGCAGTGGCGAAACTTTGCTTGTTGGCGCCCCCCGCTCAGTGACGAAAAGCGCCCCCCCTAAAATTTTTTGTCCCTAAAAAAAAAAAAAAAAAAAAAAAAAAAAAAAAAGGTCGGGTACTTTTTTTCTCGCCCCCCTACAGCTTTTTGCGCCCCCTGAAGCAAAAAAAGGTACCCCAAATATTTTTTTCGCGTCGGCCGAACGCTAAATTGGACAGGGAAATACACAAACAAGGCGTTTTTTTAGTGAAAAGGCCTAAAATTCAGGAAAATTGCGCCCCCCTTATACGGCGCCCCCCCGCACAGCGGGGTCTGCGGGGCCCTAAGTTACGCCACTGATTTCTTGTAAGCTATAGCTTTGCAGTATCTGCTCCATTAAGAAAACTTTCCTGAAAAAAAGCTATTTAACACAAATTTGAATAAGCTCATGTGCATTGCAAAGTTACAGTATGTCATTTTTAATGGTCAAAATTCATAGCTCTTGCAAAAGATGGAACCATCAGAGAAAAGAAAAGTTTACAGTTACAGTTTACTCCCAAATCTTATCCTCGACTATTCTTAAGTTAGCAGCCCTTCCCAATAGGTTATACTATTCCTGGACTCCTCAAAGAGCATCATTTTATTAACATAATACATATTAAAATTCATCCTTGTACTTATGACCCTATCTCGCATTTTTCCTTCACTTGTGTTTGATCATAGAGTATTATAGCATTCACCATAGCACTTGCAGCAAGCTTTTTTACAATCAATTTGTGTTGAAAATGTTTATAATTGAATGAAAGTACCTAGGTCAAGTCAATATTTCCTGAGCATTTCCCTGAGGGTCTCGACATGAACATAGCTATATTATAATCTCACTTTGAATATAGTTCCTATTTTACCATGAGTATGATTCAGAACATCAATTTCAATTTTTCAGTCTGATGTTATATGGTAGTATGAACAAAATGATGACGACGATGATATAGGAAAACTAAATTACCTATATCATCAATTACCACATAATGTTGTCACGCAGTGAGCGTCAATGGCAAATCTTGGTCTCTGAGGTAAAATACTGTAGGTTTTTAAGAGAGCTAGACGGATTTCTAGACAGATTCAATTCAGGGTTTGAAAAGATTACAGGCCTTTTAAAAATCTAACATTTCAAAAGAAATAAAGTTGTTGTTTTTACTGCCATCAATTCTGGTCGGAGAATCCGTCTAGATTAAAATTATAAACAATCAGCATATTTTACATGGTTTTCAGCCTTAAAATCAGCACCTTGAATGTTTTGAATTAGTGTATTTCTGACCTCATAAATAGGTCTCTACATGGCGTATCGATTATAACTACATTGTTACAGTATAAAGCATGCAGAAAGAAACTGCAGAGCAAACGTGAGGCACATCAGATCATGTTGAAAATGCTCTCCGACCATGACAAAGAGAAAGAACAGTTAGAAAATAAACTAAAATCTTTGGTAATAATAGCCTTGTTGAAATTGCTGTTATTTTATTTGGTGAAGAGATCAGATTGAATATAAACGTTGTATTTTGATACCTGATATTAGCCACTTTTTTGATAGTTAAGCTCACACATGAAAGCACTATTAGCAAATTCTGTTGGGCTGTTTTGTTAACGCACTACAACCTACTTCAGGAGAATGCTGCAGAAGAACTTATTTCCGGACACGACCTTGCACCAGTAAGATTTTATGCGTTTTTACATTAATTATATTTTCTATTAAAAGACTCAAATTTCAATTTGCTTGTTACTGCCTGGTTTAACTTTAATCAAGCTTACATCGCAGAATTTGGTTAAGTTTGTTGGTTTGAAAGCAACAAGTGAGAAAGGAAAATCAGTGATACAGGTCAGTCTAATGATTTGCAATCACAATTTCAGTTGCAAACTTACTAGTCAGCTAGTGCTAATCACATTTTAAACAGTTGGAATATCTTTGTTGTTAAGAAATGCCAATTTGGTATTACTGTAACGTTGTACAAGCATGCATTGAATCTCAAATTTAGACTTTTGTGTGGCCATAATTTATTAGAATATTTGGGTTTCTTTTTATTGATAGATTACATACTTGTTTGTATGAAAAGCATCAATACTAACATTCATGTGGCTGTTTGAAAAATCAGAATTAAAACAAGTAAGTTAAAAAAAATAAAATTCCAAATACTATTCTACAATGGCAATCTATTGAGCATCACGTAATTATTAATCTCATTTTAATTAAAATCTAACAAAAGCTATAAATAGTTTTAGGATAGCAGTTGTCTGCTTGAAATGCTGAAGTGGGTAGGCAAGATTCGTGTGTTACATGTTGTGCAATTGCTGTATGTTTGTGTAAATGCCTTCGCTTTTTGCATGTGTTGTATTTGTTGTGCTAAGTGATGCACGTTATAAATACATATTAGATATTAAAGATTAGAAAAATTCAGTAATCTCGGAGAGAAGTAATAGAGGTGATACCCCATTTTGTCAATTCAGAATTTGAGAAGTTAATTGAATAAACAATAAATAATCAATCACACCTTTCAGGGTTTAATCCTGCACATAAGCAAGATGCAGTCGGACCTTGACAAAAATAACCAACTACTTGCAGATTTCAGCGCAGAGAACTCTGATCTCAAGAAAGACCTTAAGGTGCATGTTATTCCATTTATTCACATATCTTCACTGTTTATTTATGTGTAAGATGTATGGTTCGTGTGTTGAGTTGTATTCCTTTGATTGTATAGGTTAAACAGGTACATATTGAGCTCTGTAGTGTGATATTGTGTAAGTATAGCATTGTTCTACTGAACAAGAGGTTTGTATACAATATAATACAATGTAGGAAGATATAATGATGTAATGTACAGTATTGTCTTAAAACTGAAAAGTTAAAAATGCTGAAAAGGCTACCAGAAATTAATATTTTTAAATTAACGTATATAATACATTCTAACACTTGGATAGTAAGATAACATCCCAAAGAATTAATCAGTCATGCATGAAGGACTATCTAAAATCTAAAAAAAGATGTAAAAGTATAAAGCTACTAGGATAAAACTTTATCAACATATTATATATATAAGTTCTGTATTATATAAGTTCTGTATATATAATAAGTCTGTAACATGTCTCCTTGTCAACAATGTTCAGTCTTGCGTCCCAAGAATACAGAATTACAAAGCTTTAATCCTAAAGTTGGTGCTTGTAGCATTTTCTCCGTTCCTCAACATCTTTTCCAGTAAGAGGTATCGCCTTGTCTTCAGTCTCAACCAGCAGAAATGATCCCAGTATGCAAAGAACCGCTAAAAAAGCCAGGATCCCTAGAGGCACTGCTTTGTGAGTGATGGGCGCCAAATTATTGAATATAAATGGACCTATGAAGGAGCCAACTCTGGCTGCACTAGACGAAATGCTGAACACAAAACCCCTGTGGGTAGTTGGTGCTATTTCTCCAGTCCAAAGATACACCCCTGAGAAAGATCCAGACACAAATATAACTCCAATTAAACAGACAACACTTTCCAAGGTCCAACCGCCTCCTATTTCCACGTTGGGAATCGCTATAAGGTAAACCAGAGCGGCCCCTACAAACATGAATATCATGGCCCTTCTTCTTCCCAGCCAAGCTATCAGAGGCACTGCTAGAACATAAGAAATAAGCTCTCCCACACCTGCCATAATGTACCCCAAGTATCTATTTGGGAGTATCTTTCCCCAGCCGAAGTTAAATCCATAATAAAACATGGCAACCGCCATCCAAATAGCCATCAAAATAAATGTTTCGAGTCGAAGACTTGGATAGCGGATTAATTCTATGAATTGTTGCCTGAAACTTTGTTCTCTATCTTCGGTCTTCCCGACATCCGTTATTTCTGTGAATTCCAAGTCCAGGTCCATATTGTTCAACTTTGCCAATGCCCCAAAGGCTTTCTTAGCTGCCTTCACATCATTTTGTATCAGGTAGAATCTGGGTGACTCTGTGCAGATGAAAACTTGCAATGATGCGAGCATGAAAACTATGGATGCTGCTAAAAACATGTAGTTCCAGCTTTCAGTGAAGTACCCAATTCCTACGACGAAGGGGTAGCCAAATGCCCACAAACACGATGCCCAGGCATTTATGAGATTTCTATGCTTAGCTGGAACAAGCTCCACCGTAAGAATGTACATACCAGTGGACATCAAATAGCGACCAACACCGAGAGAGTACCTCAATGCTAAAAGGAATATGTAGTTGTGACAAAATGTCCCTAAAAATAGTGACATGGCCGCTATGGCTACGCCAATCACAGCTGATTTTTTTCTTCCAATTTTATCGAACAAAAATCCACCTAGAATCAATCCTGTCAATGCTCCAGCAAAGAAAATTGATGATAGCAAAGTTTTTCGTGCTTTCCGGGCTCCGACATTGCAGTACAAGTCAAACTCCACAGAAAATGAGGTATGTTCCAGATTCCATTCTATGTCAGAAGGTCCAAGGATAAGTTCTTTTTTGCCATCCACTTCTTTGGTAATTTCGCAGGGAAACTGCCGTAGTAATGAGACATCATCTCTTGTCATATTCAGGCACATTTCAGATGTGCATGACCAAGTGTCTTCAGGTGTTGGATCGATGCCTGTAGTTGATCTTATTTAGTAAAATGATCTTAATATATAATAACATCTATAAACAAAAGAGCACCTAAGGAGGCTCAGCAAAGTGCTGGCCTATTTACGCTTTCGAAGACTCCTTCCTTTAATATGTCTCAAAGTAAATAAACTCCTCCATCCTACTCTATCTCTTGCTAAGTTCACTAAGTTGGTAAAATCATCTTCGTTTTTCAAATAAATTTGTCTCTTAAATAGGTCCTTTTTTCACAATAATATCATACAATGATCTAAATACATAATAAATATCACTTCCTAGTCAGGGGAAACGTGTCATTCCATTGGATTTGAAGGGTAATAAGGATTTATCAACGGAATATGGTAGTTAGGACCCCTACAAACATAATTAGACTTGTCGCCAGTTTTGTATCTCACAGCAACACCACTTTTCCCACTTTTTATCAACTTCTCACCACCTTTCTGGTTTGCCAAATATCTTTAGTTGTACGAACGTTGTAGAAGGTTGCAAATTAATCGAGGATGTTTATTTTATCAAGAAAAAAAACTTTTGTTTAAAAAATTTGTACGTTGGACAATCAGCTAATTGAATAATTACCAATTAGGGGTCGTTCACATATTACGTAATCAATATTTTGGCAATTTTTACCCCCCCCCCCCCCCCCCACCGTAATCAACCGTAATCAAGACCGAACCCCCCCCCCCCCCCCCCCCCCCCCCCTCCCCCCCCCTATATTACGTAATCAAGGTTTGACTTGTTGTTTGAATTGTTCACTTGACAAAATTCGAAAGTTCGAAAATATGTTTTTCCGCCAAAAGTGATCGAATTGCATGAAACGTGGAGAAAAATGCTTTGCAGAAAAACTTCGAACATTTTTCGCTTGGGGAATACTAAAATCACCAATATTTGAAGTCCAGTAAATCTCGGCATATTTTAGTAATTAGGAATAACTAAGCGGAAAGGGCTGAACCTGAAAAGGTAAACCACGCAATATTAAAGTTTCATAATTAATTACAGTACAGCCTCATCAAATTCCACACAAAGAAACAGCACAAAACTAAAAGGACCATTTAAGATCGAACCGATTTTACCTGCTGTACTATCATTTTATTGATTTCGACTTTCTTAAACAAGTCTCGAAAAAAATTGTCAAGTGAACAATTTTCGAAGTTTTTCTAAAAACTACATTTAGCCGTGTTTTAAACAATTTCGATCATTTTGAGCCAATAAACATTTTTCACACTTTTGGTAATTAGCTAATTGGTAATTATTCAATTAGCTGATTGTCCAACGTACAAATTTTTGTGACAAAAGTTATTCTCCTTGATAAGATTAACATCCCCGATTAATTTGCAACCTTCTTCGACGTTCACAACTAAATATATTTGGCAAACCAAAAAAGTGTTAAGAAGGTGGGAAAAAGTGGGAAAAAGTGGGAAAAAGTGGTGTTGCCGTGAGATACAAAATTGGTGACAAGTCTAATTATGTTCGTAGGGGTCCTAACTACCATATCCTGTTGATAAATCCTTATTACCCTTCAAATCCAACGGAACCCTTAAATCGATCACTTTCCCGACTATACAGTAAGAAAAGAAGATAAAAAATCACGAGTGAAGCAAACGCAAAGTACAGAATGCTTAACCTTCATGCTAATCAGTTTTGAATAGGTATCACAAACCTGCAAAGGACGTAATATAGGCACACGAAGGTCCTGCCATCCAGACCAACATCAGTGACATAATCAGGGCTGTGTACTTCCAACTTCGGTTCCTGGCCAACTCCTCAATCAAATCATCGCTACTGACCGGTCCTTTACTTTTTACCATACGACTTGATTCCTTGTCTTCCATGTTCTCTTTCTCGTCATCGCTCATTTTTAACATTTATTTCTACCTTTTGGAAATTATTCGGTATTAAACTGAACTTCAAATTCATAAAAAGATCAACAAAAAGTGTAAAAATGAAATAAAATTATTTCTCTACAACTACAACAAGTTCAGTTATACACCAATTGAAAATCACTGTTGAGGATAATTAGTTCTTTAGACTATAGTACTTCCCTCTCCTTATGGTATACGCTCGAAACTTAATGTAATTCATCGACAACTGCCAACAATTAGTACATATATCACCCTACGCGCGTGGGGTGGACTCCTGGGGTGGACTTTTATTCAGCGCGTATTTTGTAGCCTGTTCAACTTGACGTTTTGATTCGTTACTATCTCAATGTCACAGATACACAGAATGTGAGGTGATCATCTTAAAGAGAAACGTCTCAGCTTTCACCTGGTGTAAAGTTTATCTTTGTACTCAAAATATAGCTCGCTCAGTGTGCAATAGAAGTTGACAATACAATAACCACGTCTGCGACCGGTCGTCAGGTACCGGAGTGTTGCACAAAATTGGGTCCCTAAATTAAAATTCTATGACACAGTTACCATGCAGAAATGTCTAGGGAAACATTTGGTGAAAGTTTCAACTCTCTACTATAAAAATAGCGATAGTTATTGAAGATAAACCGTGAGAAACTCCCTCTTGTCGAGATCAACGCTCTAGGAAACTCCCTTCTGTACCACGTGACAACGATTTGAGCGTCACGTGGCCGTCACGTGACAAAAGTGCGCGCATCGGATGGAGCAGTCTCGTGGGAAATCCTGATTGCCTGATCGATCTCGTGGGAAATCCTGATTGCTACGGAAAGGGCTGACAACCACAGTTATTTCCCTTCCTCAATTTTCCAGTTCACTTGCTCAGTGCTGTCAGTTGTTTTTTGTTTGCCCTGCTATATAAACTTCACTCCGTCATAATCCCCTACTCCCCTATCCAATGAACTGTTTCTGTTACAGCTGCCATTCTGTTGACTGGACCCTAACTTAGTCTTATCATTTTCACTTGATAACTTTATCCGTGTGCACTTTCTCGAAACTCAACTTATCTTTGTCAAGACTCAGCTAATCTCAGAACTAAATGTTGCCTTAACAGACTTACTTGTCACTGCACTAAATAAATCAAATACCTTTTTGTTTAATGCAGCCAAGCTTTGGAACGCTGTTCATAAAAAAAAAATTTTAACTTCAAGCAATTGCTTAGAAACGTCCATTAGCTTGATAAAACTGAGAACAAAAGCACTATTAATACAAGCACAGGCAGCTGACTTAAAAGATACTTGGACTCCAAACAATTTTAAATTGCAGTAATCAAGTCTAATTGCAGCGGCGCACACTTACTATTACTATCATGATTGTACTATAGACAGAAAATCTTTCAAATCGATTTTGGGCGCTTTTTAACCATTTGTTGTAATGTTTTTAGATACTAAATATCTAAATATATAAAAATTTTTATCGGAATGAATTAATTGATTGATATTTAATAATTTATTCGGTAGGTTTATCTGGTATTGATATTGATTATATTGATATTGTTATTATTGAACGAAGCTAACTCTAGACATAGTTAATACTACTTCTTTTAAGAAAGGGACTTGGAGTATAAACGACCAAGTTTGCATAAATTTCTATCCAACCAAGAACTCAGGAGGCAAAGGTGGGTGCGTAAACTTTTGGTCTGCACTCTCCGATCCTGTATCACCCTGGATTCTTCTCGACGTATCTTTGTAAAAGGTATATACCTTCTAGTCAATCTCTTGCTACTCCAAGTCCCCTAAGATATGTGATCTAAAGTTCGTGCTAGTTATATATATATATATAGAAAATATATTTTTGTCTGCTTTAATTGATACTAAATAAAATTGTTGTTTTCTTTTTTTTCTTGAAATTGTTGTTTTCTTGACTGGGCCCTCCTTTAAATGCAAATATCATATGAGCAGCTGATCGATTTATTGCTTGAACTGTGCATCCTTTTTAAAAATAAATAAGGTCAATTTTACTATCGTGAAACTTAGTCACTGAAGACAACGCAATCTGGCTGTGCCGGTTCCCCTCTGCCTAGATCACTTAGAATATCCATAGTTAGCAATACTTTTATCGTTTAATGCAGCGATATAGCCAGTTATCAATGCTACATAGTAGATTTTAGCCTGTTCCAATCATCCTTATATCGCGTTAATGGAATTTATGAAATTGCCTACCGTTCAAATCGCTCTCTGTTGTTAGCACCACACTGATTAACTACGATGTTCCAATTTTTTAGAATTATGTCCGACATAATTCTAATTTTTGCTGTTACAGCAGATAGTTATGGTGTAATGGCACGCAGGAATAAGTCATCCCTGTCCTCCAAAAAGCCCATGAAAAGGTATTTGGTAAGCTATGTCTTTTCCAATATCAAATCCAATGTATCACAATCTGTGGACTTTCTTCTCAAAAACTAGATTGATTAATTGATAATTCATTGCTGATTGTTCACGCGCCCTGTATGGAAGTATATAAATGGTAATCCGCATACTCCAGGAAGAATTGAAGCAATCTCAAAAGAAAAGAAGGGAATCTGGATCCTTCGTCGGATCGTCAAAGAGCTTAGAGGGGAGCTCTACGCTTCACTGGCCATGCAAAGCAGGGAGAGTGACGGAGGCGGAGGCACTGCTGGCTGCTGGAACGGACATTAACAAGCTGGACAGAACGCAGTTTAACCCTTTCATGGACGCGATCAACTCAGGTAAATCATTCGACCGCCTTAACAATATGGGTTTATTGGTAATAGTAGCAAGAGGTTTTAGTCATGCGTTTGATTACAGCACAGTGTGAAACCCTGAAGCATACGTCGAGCTCTAAACTCTGTTTTGTCTAATAATCAATTATTTGAATATTGAAGGATTAAATTTGGTAACTTGATGATCACACAATTAACAGGACAGGTCGACTGTGCTAGATGGCTGCTGAGGCAAGACGGTTTAAAGCTTCAGACCGAGATATGGTCGTTTTGTAGGGAGAGGGTGCTAGAGTCATTGCTAACAGCTTAACAGAAGGTAAAATCCTGAACTTTTGTTCATTGATTAAAAATCACCATTCAGACATACAATCGTTCAGATGTAAAAATTATTTATTCACTATTTTGGATTACATTTAGTTACAGGACTAACATGCGACATCCGTCGTTGACCTTTGTCTTTAATTCAACAAGGTAGGGAGAGCGATCCATGGCTGTCCCGATAGACCCACTCAGACTCCTGCCGGAAGATACTCCTCCGGTTGATCCAGATGAGACAGTTCTAGCAGATGATCAGTTACAGACTGAAGAACATATCCCGCAGATCAATGCGTCAACATCTGCAAATGAAGGTACTTCAATCTGCTCTTCTTGTATATGTCTTTGTGCCTGCGTCTGTGATTGTACTGAAGTGTACTCTGTGTGTTTGTGTCTGTGTCTGTCTTTGTATCATGTGTGTGTCTCTGATTGTACTGCGTGTGTCTGTAATTGTAATGTAGTGCACTGAAGTGAACTATGTGTGTTTATGTGTGTGTGTCTGTGTGTGTCTGTGTGTACTGTGTCTGTCTGTGTGTCCGTCTGTGTCTGTGTGTGTCTGTGTTTATGCCTGTGTCTGTGTGTCTATGTCTGTATGTGTTTGTGGGTGTGTGTCTGTGTGTCCTTGTCTGTGTGTAACTGTGTCTGTCTGTGTGTCTGTCTGTGTGTCCGTCTGTGTCTGTGTTTATGCCTGTATGCCTGTATGTCTGTGTCTCTGTGTGTGTGTGTCTATGTCTGTATGTGTTTGTGGGTGTGTGTATCTGTCTGTGTGTGTGTGTGTGTGTGTGTGTGTGTGTGTGTGTGTGTGTGTGTGTGTGTGTGTGTGTGTGTGTGTGTGTGTGTGTGTGTGTGTGTGTGTGTGTGTGTGTGTGTGTGTGTGTGTGTGTGTGTGTGTGTGTGTGTGTGTGTGTGTGTGTTCTTTCATAGAAGTTGTTATTTCCAAGATACGAAGTTCGAAAAGCTAGCATTTAGTAATAGACGAATTTTGCAGCTGATATCAGAATCGACATGATGATGGTACTACACGAGATGCTCATGGAAAAGGTCTCCGTTTGCTTTCCTCCTCCCACGAGCAGTACAAAGTGTGGGTTCAACTTTAATCTGATAGAAGATATCGTACATGCGGAACCCAAGCCCGGCCATGTCTGTACATAATAACGAAAGAAACCGGTAAGTTTCTAATCATGTAAATGTTCGGCCGAACGTTTGCATTCATTTTAGACTAGTGACGAAAATCAACAATCGTTTGCCAGTTTGGTTTGCAAAATCGACAAAAAATAGTCCATTCCCCATGGCCATGATATTAGAATTCTGCCCGTTGAAATCGGCCACTCTGATTTTTATCATTGAACTTCACATTGATGACATGTTCATTCTCTACAGGTTATGCTGCGAGGGCGTTTACCTCGATAGATGTTGAAAATGCCCACAGCATTATAAATCATTTGGACCGCCGAGGGGTCCAAAACTCCTCAATCGAAGAGCTTAGTAGACATGCCAGCAACCTACAGAGACTTCAAATTCTCAGGAAACCTCTCTAGGACGGTAATACATTAACTTGTTTAGTTAATAAATTTAATAAGTAGATTTTGAGTGATGATTACTGAATACAGATATCGAGCCTCGAGGTACCATAAAAAGGGTATATAAACTTATCACTTATGCTTATATGCTTATACTATCAATGAATATCAAATCGCCTTCTCTAGTTATCAAACCCAACATAAGTTAAATCTCTGCCTACAAGGACTATTTGATATTTACAACAGACCGAGTGAATGTCTCAATCTTTTCAGGAAGCTTTATACTCCGACATCCACAATTTACTACGCCCCTGAGATCGACAAAGGTCTTTCTGATAGATTGACTTCCAGCCAATTCGATCTATCGAAGCCGAGTGGGAAGAACTAAGAACTGAAACCCCATGGTCGCAACGATGCTCCTCGCGGACAAGGGAGAGTTAGGGCCATCGGTGGTCACAAGACTGGATAATATTTATTTTTTAAGCGTTGAGGTTGTCACGAAAGCGTACTGTAACGGGACTATCAGATTTGAGTGATTTGATTTTGTGATTTGCAGTTCACGTGATTTTATTGTGATTTTAGACTGTAAAAACTATAAAGGTTCAAGTTGAACTATCGTCGCCATGATTATGTATTTTGGAACTGTTCACGTTGAAATTGCTTCGTTAATCAGCAGTCTTCCTTGGTTACTTTCTACTGTGTAATGCAGCTACGATCAACGATACTTAGCTAGTACATTCATAGTAACACTAACTGCACTGAGAAGAGTAAAAAATTTGAGCTTTGACGGAATAACATTTCCTTGTTTTTAGATACGGTTACTACTCTAGTGAGGGGTTCATAGCTGATCATTAAGGTCTTACTCACAATAATTTGTGCTCTGATATTGGCCGTACTGACGGCTGTTGAAAAAGCCACTCCGTCAGATGCGCGCCGCAAGAGTCCACCCCTGTAGACCCCACTACGTACAAAATTTGAAATTTTCCCAAAAACTTCTGATTAAGCTAGTTTGTTTTCAATAACTTTTGCAATATTTACAGTAGACCCTTCAAATTTTCACCAAATGTTACTCTAGACATTTCTGCATGGTAACTGTGTCATAGAATTTTAATTTAGGGACCCAATTTTGTGCAACACTCCGGTACCTGACGACCGGTCGCAGACGTGGTTATTGTATTGTCAACTTCTATTGCACACTGAGCGAGCTATATTTTGAGTACAAAGATAAACTTTACACCAGGTGAAAGCTGAGACGTTTCTCTTTAAGATGATCACCTCACATTCTGTGTATCTGTGACATTGAGATAGTAACGAATCAAAACGTCAAGTTGAACAGGCTACAAAATACGCGCTGAATAAAAGTCCACCCCAGGAGTCCACCCCACGCGCGTAGGGTGTATATGTAGTAATTACAATTAGTATAAATTCAACAAACACCAGTAACTTATTAGAATTGTGGGGACACACCACATGTGGAGATTACATGGGTAAGACACAAAACAACACAATAATACACCGAAACACTTCGCACAAATCTCTCTGCTCAGTCCAATAAAACACCGATTTACCGTGCACTTTGGGGGAAGGGAAAACCCGCTGTAAATCGGAATTTGCGTTTAATCGGGGTTTTTGGGGTCCTAAATTGGTCAGCAATGGGTGGATAAGGCCTGAAATACATACAAGCGATATTTTTGAAAGTCTCGCGAATACACTCAGGAATTATTTGATACAGAAATCAGATAAAATTATTGCTGCCTTTTCATTATATTGTAAACTAGATTAAGACCTGTAAATATCAATATTGTATCAGTATGCTCAGATCAGATCACATATTCTCCTATTATATGACACGAAACAATCCTTCTCAAACAATCAGAGAAACAACTGTTCGATAACTTTGTCAAACTTAATATCTTTACTTACTCAGCTGGTATCAAATTTCGAATTTCAAGATAATGGTAACTTTTAAAATGTTGTCTTTTTGAAAATCTTAAATTGTCGAAAAAAATGTACTGAAATTCGGGGAAAGGAATTACCAGCGTTGAATCAGGGTTTTATTGCAATAGGACGGCATATGCATGTACAGTACATTTACCAGACATTGGATGAATAACGCATTAGGCTGGTTTCCAAGTTTAAATCTGAAATTTCGACCTTATTATATCACTAAAATCACTAAAATCACTAAAATCACTATAATCACTAAAATCACTAAAAATTGCTGTTACAAATGTTTGAGACAGCACTATCTATTTTGTAAAAATAGTCCTAAAAATAAATTAATGTTACATGGCGCTGAACTTATTCGCAACGTGAGAAAATTTTCCGGTTCCATGCGATTGGGCTCATATTATTTCGCGTTACCAAAACGTGAGTTTTACAAGATAGCTAAACTACCGTCGACTAATTCTGAACTGGAAAAATTCTGCGATTTATGCAATAATTCCCCTCCATTGCTTTGATAAATTATTATTATCATATTATTATGTTTTACTTCCCGTCGACTGTCTGACTATAGAATATAAACCCGTTCTACATATCTTGGTCATTCAATGGAAATATGCCTTGGCACAGCGTAGGTATGCGTTTCCCACTCAGATTCCAGAATTAAGAATGATTCGGTTTCCATGTTATTTCGGAATAAGAACCAAAATTTCTCTTCTAAATGATCCTTAGAACATATTGTCCTGAAAGTTTGAGGGTGATCGCTCAACAAATGTAGAGAAGATAGATTTTTAGACTGAAAAATCAGTTAATAGATATCACTTCCCTCTATTAATAACAACTATAAACTCAATTACAAGAGAATGTTCATGAAGTAATCCAATAAAGCTGACTTGTCACTTATAATTCATGTTTTTCTACTACGATCAACATCCTGCAGTTCAACTCATTACGGTAATGAGTAGTCATTACCTTGTAAGTTCGGGTAGATTTGTGTGGTAGACAAACTGAAACAAAATATCAAGGCAGTCGTCCACTGAACTGATCGAATAGGTAGAGTGAAAAGGAAAATAGAACGGGCAACAAACATGAACAAAACAACAGAACCATCACAACTGAATTGTATTATAATAGTACTGATTTGTGGTACATCACTGAGTGACCAATAACCATCGAGGTGTTACGTCACATGCTGCCAATTAGACCAATCAGGTAACAGGAGCTGTGGTAGTTTTACACTGATGTCCTTGGGGGTGCTTCAGCCGATTTGGTTACAACTTTCAGATATTGTTGCTAGAACACGTATGGTCGGACTGAGACCGTACACAATGACATTATAGCTTATAAGTGTTCAAACACAAGAAATTTTTTTCAAAATAGTAGTGAAACGGTAGAATAATGTAATATTTACTGATTTGTTTCGGTTGAGTGACGATTCGGCTTAAACTCTCTAATTTGTTACTAGGATCCTAATAATGTTATTGAAATTTGACATGTCGTATTTTGCTTAGATGCGAAATAGCGGGCATGTCTAATAGTAAATGAAATCAACCTACATTTTGTCCGTTAATGTCCACCAATGTCTGCCTATGTCGTGTCCTTTTTAGATTCTATGAGATAAGTGGAAATTGGCGGACGTGTCACCTCGTTAAGATTTAACGCTGATCCAGTCAGTTACGAGCTATGAAGAAATAATTGGATCTCGTCAATGCTGGCCCTGTCAGCCACAACGATTGACAAGTTATGTAAAATCAATAGCGACCTCAACAAATATATTTCTCCAGCTATAATCCCTTCTAGGAAACGAAGATTATTGATATAAAGACATCGTAAACATTAGTCCCCAAAGTACGACTTCATGATGGTAGGGAGCTTGGAGAGGGGTAACTTACTCAGTAGTTTCGTGATCAAGGGATGTTCTCAAAAGGTTTTATACTTCTAATAATTTTGTTGTGGCACAATAAGGACAATATCCTTGTTCCGTGTTCGTGGGAGGACTGTTATAAACTAGGTGCTATCAATAAAATCTGACAACGTCATGGAAAAGTTGCGAGAGCTATTCGAAAATAAGTCACTCTTAAAATTCAGAATTTTCCCCTAAAAATAAACATTACATTAAAGGTTGCCATGGTTTTATTGGTTTACTGTGCGAATACTACACAATTGCACGAGCATTTTGATTTGGTGCAATATTGCCAAATATTTAGTGTTCACGTGCAAATTTTCTAGAAATTTGTAATTTGGTTCAATATTTTGTTTTTATTTATGTGTAAGATGTACTTTTTGTGTGTTGAGCTGTTTTCCTTTAATTGTATAGGTTAAACAGGTAAATATTGAGCTCTGTAGTGTGATATTGTGTAAGTATAGCATTGTTCTACTGAACAAGAGGTTTGTATACAATATAATACAATGTAGCAAGATATAATGATGTAATGTACAGTATTGTCTTGAAACTGAATAACAATTATAATCTAAATTTGGTGCTTGTAGCCTTTTCTCCGTTCCTCGACATCTTTTCCAGTAAGAGGTATCGCCTTGTCTTCAGTCTCAATCAGCAGAAATGATCCCAGTATGCAAAGAACCGCTAAAAAAGCCAGGATCCCTAGAGGCACTGCTTTGTGAGTGATGGGCGCCAAATTATTGAATATAAATGGACCTATGAAAGAGCCAACTCTGGCTGCACTAGACGAAATGCTGAACACAAAACCCCTGTGGGTAGTTGGTGCTATTTCTCCAGTCCAAAGATACACCCCTGAGAAAGATCCAGACACAAATATAACTCCAATTAAACAGACAACACTTTCCAAGGTCCAACCACCTCCTATTTCCACGTTTGGAATCGCTATAAGGTAAACCAGAGCGGCCCCTACAAACATGAATATCATGGCCCTTCTTCTTCCCAGCCAAGCTATCAGAGGCACTGCTAGAACATAAGAAATAAGCTCTCCCACACCTGCCATAATGTACCCCAAGTATCTATTTGGGACTATCTTTCCCCAGCCGAAGTTAAATCCATAATAAAACATGGCAACCGCCATCCAAACAGCCATCAAAATAAATGTTTCGAGTCGAAGACTTGGATAGCGGATTAATTCTATGAATTGTTGCTTGACACTTTGTTCTCTATCTTCGGTCTTCCCGACATCCGTTATTTCTGTGAATTCCAAGTCCAGATCCATATTGTTCAACTTCGCCAATGCCTCAAAGGCCTTCTTAGCTGCCTTCACATCATTTTTGATCAGGTAGAATCTGGGTGACTCTGTGCAGATGAAAACTTGCAATGATGCGAGCATGAAAACTATGGATGCTGCTAAAAACATGTAGTTCCAGCTTTCAGTGAAGTACCCAATTCCTACGACGAAGGGGTAGCCAAACGCCCACAAACACGATGCCCAGGCATTTATGAGATTTCTATGCTTAGCGGGAACAAGCTCCACCGTAAGAATGTACATACCAGTGGACATCAAAAAGCGACCAACACCGAGAGAGTACCTCAATGCTAAAAGGAATATGTAGTTGTGACAAAATGTCCCTAAAAATAGTGACATGACCGCTATGACTATGCCAATCATAGCTGACTTTTTCCTACCAATTTTATCGAACAAAAATCCACCTAGAATCAATCCTGTCAATGCTCCAGCAAAGAAAATTGATGATAGCAAAGTTTTTCGTGCTTTCCGGGCTCCTACATCGCAGTACAAGTCAAACTCCACAGAAAATGAGGTATGTTCCAGATTCCATTCTATGTCAGAAGGTCCAAGGATAAGTTCTTTTTTTCCATCCACTTCTTTGGTAATTTCGCAGGGAAACTGTCGTAGTAATGAGACATCATCTCTTGTCATATTCAGGCACATTTCAGAAGTGCATGACCAGGTGTCTTCAGGTGTTGGATCGATGCCTGTAGTGGATCTTATTTAATAAAAATATCTGAATAAAAAGTGATCTTTTCCAGTAAGGAAAGAAGATCAATAATCAAGAGTGGAGCAAACGCAAAGTACAGAATGTTTAATTTTAATTCTGATCAGTAAGAGGTAACTCAAACCTGCAAAGGATGTAATATAGGCACACGAAGGTCCTGCCAGCCAGACCAACATCAGTGACATAATCAGGGCTGTGTACTTCCAACTTCGGTTCCTGGCCAACTCCTCAATCAAATCATCGCTACTGACCGGTCCTTTGCTTTTTACCATACGACTTGATTCCTTGTCTTCCATGTTCTCTTTCTCGTCATCGCTCATTTTTTTCCCTACTCTTGCCGAAGGCAAAAAGATCGTAGGGAATAAGTAATCGGGTTTGGATATATGAGGTGGCCCGACGGTCCTACGGTGATGACAAAAGTCTGCTCCTTCGCAATATAGACCACTCCCCTATAATTATGTGTATAAAAGGAGTCTATTTTGCGCGCGCGACGCTGGTTATGAGTTAATTAATTACAGGCATAGCAACCAGTTTTTGGTGCTTGACGACTGTTACAAACGGATCAATCATCAATATAGGTGTTATTTGTGTGAAACAATCTTAATAAATTACCGAGTGATAAAATTCAGCAAGTCAAAACAAATAAAATTATGATGTCAGCTGATAAACTCGTGGCTGTGGGCTGATTATTTAACAGTTAATCGACACTGAATGGTAGAAAGCATTGGAATACATAGTTGAGAACAAATGTTACTTCACAGTTACATTTAAGAAGCAACTATAATATCAAGATTGTGGTATTCTTTTAAAGAATCCTATATCAAATAAAAGGCTCGAAAGTCGATGGTGCTGTGATGTGTCGAGTAAGAATCAAAATGTATTAGTTTATGTTAGATACAAATAATAACTAAGACGAGACAGCATATTTTATTACAGTCAATAAGTTGGCATACGATGCAGTAATATGACGTGACATGATACGCATATCGTTATTGTTAACACGAAACAAAACCGCGCAAAGTATGAAATAATCTACAACCTAACCACATACAGATCGACGGCGACACCTCAGATGCGCGCAGGATTTTTCAAGTTCTGCACGCCTAATATAATATAAACGTTTATTACATTGTACATGCGCCAAACACCACTCTGGGATACAATAAAGTAGAACAATTAAATTGTATGCAGTAGCTCAGTAGGGAAATTTGATCGTGCGTGGTGTTACCGCGGCGAAATTCTTGTTAACATTTATTTCTACCTTTTGGAAATTATTGGGTATAAAACTGAACCTCAAATGAAATAAAACGATCAACAACAAAAAAACAAAAAGTATAAAAATGAAGTAAAATTAGTTCTGTACAAGGTATACACCAAGTTAGGGGTCGTTCACATATTAGTGATATTACGTAATCAGCAGAGGGGGGAGGGGGTTTAAATGCTTACGGTTGATTATGGGGGGGGGGGGTTTGGTTGTTGATTACGTAATCAAAATTTTATTTTTTAGGGGATCCCAGAATAATAACAATAATAACAAATTGATCGGATATCCGACTATAGTAAGTAGTTTAGAAAGTGATTGGCCGGATATCAATCAGAAATTTCATTAATTTCCAGGAAAAATTCTAAATAATGACCATTACATCTGATAAGGTTGCGTTTCTACTGTAACTCTGTAAGAATAATCGTGTGAACACGCTGGAGAACACTCGTTAATATGAACAAGCTTTATAATTGGACGTTGTAAAATAACAAGGAACTAGGTAGCTGCATGATAAATGTTCTGGCAACGAGATTAAATGTTACTGAAAAGAGGAATCCAAGCAAAATATGTACGAGATGAAGGTAACAATAAATTTAATTACAAAAAGGGGCTAAATCAACAATTTGGAGAGTAAGCGATGAAAATATATGAGTCAGATTTTCAGTTAATTTACCAGAAATTGGATGAATAACGCAATTATAGTGAAGGAGCATAGTTGGTGGAAGAATGATATCTTTATTGGGTTGAGATAATAGAGATATGTGGAAAACTGCAAAATATCTGCAGGGAGTAGTAGAGAATATGTAGTAACCAAATTACCTTTACATTTTATTCGTATAGGAATCATTTATATGGCAGTATGGTTTATAATGTTCCTTAATAAATCGTTATTATCCTAGACTTGCATAAACTTGATAAAGAAATTCTCAAAAATTATCAATCAGAGCAAAAAAAAGGAAAATTTTACCGTTTCAAAATGGTAGAGACCAGTAAAGAACTATTATTATTATTTATATAGTACATAAGTTTATTCAAATCAAAAATAGAACTATAAATGAACATTGGACATCTTAAAGATCTGATAAGTAGCCAGAAAAAAAAGAAATACGGATACATAAACTAAAAACATTTTTTTTCATCCTGCTCTATCAGAAGCTAATATTCTTAAACTGTACAAACCGTCTGTATTTACAAATGGAATGTCCTTTTAATATTACTACACTATAACATAAAGGGAACTTATATAAGCCCTCGTTAAAGCTTGTGCGATCTGAAATACGATATTTTCATGGCTCTACTTTTTGTCTCTACAGTCTACTGAGACAAAAATTGTCATTTTTGTAATTTTTGTCTCAGTATCGCTGAGTATCTGCACTCTGCAGTCATTAATGGCCAGTATTCCATCAACTGAATAAACTGGCACAATTCAAATTCAATGATCCGTCCTTATATATTGTTCGTATTCCCTAATTAGCAATAATTAAGTGATTAACTATTCTAATTATCAGGCAGTGAGAGCTGATAAAACAGGGTTTAACAGAGTAATGTCACCTGTGTTGGATAATTGCGATAGAGACAGGGAGGATTTCCTTGCGATGATACAGTCCCTAAAACAGGAGGTAACCGCTTGTTATTAAATCTGTTTTTGCAGATTTTCTAGGATATTCTGGGCAGAACTTTATATCTGTTTTGGGACATTGATAACAAATATAGAGGTTTCTAGTTCCGTTACCAGTGTTTCTAGTTCCGTTACCTGTGCTCTGCCAATTGCATCACATGATTTGATTGAATGTATCATTTTATACTGTTTCTTTTCTATTGGAGCTGAGGAAGATATTGGATACAAATATTTGTGATTAGATGACTCTGTATTTTGTTGGAATCAAGTTCGAGAACTAGAAAGTTTCTTCGTTGCAGGTAGCGGCACACCGCACATGAATGGTAATATCGGATAAAACCTACTACTATAATGCATTTCTCACTCGTCTACTAACTTGATTTGTAAACTTCATTCGCAGGTCGAAGTTTGTAATACGAGAATAAAGACTCAAAACGATGAGGCGACTGATTTCCGCATCGAGGTGAGAGACTCGTAATTGCCACATGTACATGGTATTTTATGGAAAACGCGGTCAAGAAATCTGTGATGACATTAGCGCAATTTCGATTCTATTTTAGTACGTATAATATACTATACTAGTATAGTATATTATACTATACGCGACTTACAATTTTATCTGGCATGATATTCTTAGTCGCGCGCGGGTTGTAGCGCGGCCAGTCAATTTAAAGTCTTCTCCGGATTCAGCACGATTGGCCAATACTAATACGCGATGGCAAATACAAGAGATTGCTGCCATAAAATTGTGAATACGGAACCTAAAAATTGTTTGTGAAGGGGCTCTTTTCCCAGAAATACAGAACTCGATCATTCTCTTCACGTCTCAACTCATTCCCTACAATTAATGAACGCGCCCTATATATGATAAAACTGAATTTCGATAATTTGAACCAATTAGTCAATCAACTAATTAATAATTAACCAGCTACCTGACAGCAGATTTGTTAAAGTAAGAAAACTTTTATCGGAGCTAGGATCACATTGAACGTGGCCAAAGAAAATTGATACATACATTTTCTATTTTTGCACGAAATGATACACTTTTGATGAAAACATGCTCTCTATTCACCAATTTGTCGATACCGTACACTCAAAAGAACTGAGTTTGGAGTGATAACCATAACTGTAATATTACATATTTTTTAGAATAAGTGTTGCTTCTTATATTACAACCTATATTTATAAGCAACATTTCCTGGATTTATATACGGAACATAAACAATTGCTATATTTTCTGTTTTGTCACAAACACGATCTTATTACTCCAGAAACTTTTGTATAGATGTTTAAAGTCATTTCAAAGGTCGTTCGGAGGGGTTAGACTTGCTGAGTTCTGCAGTCTAGGATATTCTCTCTTTACAGGGTGTTATTTTGAAGGCTGGCTTACGTAATATGTGAAATATCCCTTACCAGTTATCATTCATTCCAAGACTCACTACACTATACATAGTCCCTGGAGACTTTCACGGCTGTTCTGTGACAACGTCAGCTCTACACACGAGCCCCACCAATCAAGCCTTTCATTAGCTCTCGCCCTACCCTGCACTGTAGAATTATAATCCGTAGGGCTTGCAAGTGCTTGTTAGCAATGGCCTGAGGAATAGAATCCTTCGAGCAATTTGTTTCACCACAGCTCTCCATCGGTAACATGTTATATGTCCGAACACGACTGTTGTCCGAATTTAATTACCGAACAATACGACTGTTGCGTGATGTGATTACAATTGTCCGAATGAAGCATTCTCGGATCTAAGCAGAGTTCGGAGTATAGTCATTAGTCCCCCAATACTCCTCATCGTACCTTTTGGAGAAGAATGGTCACATCTTTAAATAACACCGAACAATGGTTTTGAGTTATTTCATGCCTTAAAGTAGTAGAACTCGCAGTCTCCGAGAATTACGTTAGGGACGTGGCTAGGAATGTGCACCTTATCGGATTAATAAAAAACAACAAATTTCCTGCTAACTTCATATATTTTTTATCAATCAACTTAATGTATAATTGGTATAAATTTCAACTCATCACCCAGTTTGGGAAAGTGAAATTCCATTGTCCGTTTTAATTAATCTGAATATTTTAAATGGAGATGGAATTTCACTATTGAATTCATAGTTACCATAGTTACCATTATAGTTACATAGTTCCTCACAGTGAATAACTTTAAGGTAAGGTATTCAAAATTTCTAAAGAGCTTGTTAATAGCGTCCAACATGAACAAAATCTACTTTTTTTTTACATTATTGCATTTGAATGGATATTTTATCCACTCTATTGGCTCGCAAGACGTCTCAAGGTTAATATTCACAGCATTCCCAGCATTGTTATCTTTTGATGAAAGTTCAAATTCCTAATCGGGAAAGAATTTGTATCGTTATTACCATTTCACGTGATACCGTTCATACTAGATCCTTGTCCTTCGTAAAGAGGTAATGAGTAGAATGCTAGTTCCTAAATTCACATACTACCGGTACTCAAGGAAGCAAAACGCTCAACTTTAAGATCCTTTCTGACTTTTAGCTTTTATCGGAGCGGAATTTCTACTGCTGTCCCTACCTCGCACAGATTAAGAAAATTATTCAGAAAGCTCACAAAAATAAACTCTCACTGATAGGAGCGAATAAACTTTATACTTTGATTTGTTCGCCCTACTCAATGAATATGGCTAGAACTACTCATAGTGAGGACGGAGAAATGGTGAAAATAGAGCACTGAGATAAGTTCTTGATATGATCTACTATACAATAACAATCTACAAGCAAAAACATGTTCTTTGAACTTGTTCGTACACGCCCTCTCATTTAGCTGTCTGCCCTTATTGCTCCTACCTAGATGCTAGAAAATGGGTTTTGGTCTTTCTACGAGTTTAACGATTAATTTTGCTATTACTCTCTCCCGCTAAGTCGAGGAATAAATGTACAGCATTTAAAATACCAGCGGATTAAAACCGTGAAACGGAGAAAACTTTGAACACTGCGTGGGTTATATTATGATTTTCCATGGTTACTGGCAACTATTATAATGGTAACTATGGTAACTATAATGGTAACTATGGTAACTATGATGGTAACGACGCCCTACCCTCAGCGCGAGTTCTACAAACAGAAGGTAAAGACGCTGACAGAGCAGCTGCTTGAAAAGAACGAGTGTCAGCCTATAGCTCAGGTGGAGGAACTCCTTGTGGACAATAGAGAGCTTAGGGACAAGGTACATACTTGCTTTATAAGCTTTCACCGCATATCATCTTAATCTATTTTAAAAGGAAATCAATGCATTTGTGTTAATTAAGGCTTTTTCTTTTTTCAGTTAGTGACATTATGGGGGGTGGGCTTCCTCGCTATATCTTCAAAAATTTGTAAACTGGAATGACCAAGTAAATAATGTCATTAGTCAAGTCTCTTGTGCAGCCTTATGGGGAGAAAATGTTAGGACCTCATGTATTCAGAAACTATTCATTTTACCAAAGAAGTGTATCAGGATTGTAAGTAAGACAACCGAGAAAGTTATCAAAATGTTGCTCATAGAAGTAAAATATGAATTTTGAGTGATAAGGAAGTGTTTTTGGGTTCTTAAACCAAGTTTAATCAATTTCTCGTGCAAAATAAGTAAATAACAAGGTTGATTTCTCTGTTATTTTCAAGCTCTCGTTCAGAAAATAAATCTGAACTTCCATAGGGGGTAACAGGAGTTACAAGCGTTACAAGCGTTCCAAAACGCACGTCATGTGACGTCATTTTCGAGTCCTTATATTGGGAAATATCGTGACATCATCAAACGTAATTATACATAATATGGTGTGAAATGGAGCTTAGCCAATATATTATTTATGGAGAAATGGAACGTCATATTAGAGGTCATTTTTGCTGATTTAAACCAAAGTAATTGAACTAGAAACTTCAAACTTGGATTACCCTCCTACATTACAATGAGACGCCTAGCGGCGAAATTTTAACGGAATTCGGCCATTGCTTTCGGGATCCTCTAAGGAAATAAAGTCTTCCTTGCGGAGAAGATGATTTACAGATTTGAGTTTATATCGTTACAGATCCGACAGCATAACGTCATGAATTTGGTATTGGTTGTAGAATTTACTATTTGACTAAGATGCTCAGTGTTTAAACCCGTTAATTGAGAGTTTCGTGGCTTTTGCTAACTCAAGTCATGTGATATCCAAGGCTTGAGGAATTATCGGTCCTAAATATTGACATTCTTGCTGGACTAATGTTTAGGTCGTCTCCATTGTATCCTTCAGAGATCGGATAATATCCCGACTGTATACTTCCTTCTTCAAGCGCATCATTACCACAAATATTTCCTGGATTTCTCAGTCTGTCGATTGATAAAATGTACTTATTGTCTGCAAAAATTTTAAATTTTGCGGTTGAACTACAATGTTCATGGTCATGACTGCAGTGATAAAAATTAGTAACGGCTTAAATGCACACTGGTCGAACCCCCCCCCCCCCCCCCCCCCCCCCCCCCGCCCCGGCCCCTAACATTCTGCACATATTCCACTTACTTACCAGTAACTGGCCCAGGTGGACAGGTTACAGCACATCAATGCTGCTCTGGTATCACACAACAGCCTACCCACCGGACTGTCATCTCGTCCCTCTGTTCACACTCGCGGTTACCATAGCAACAGTTACCCTAGCAGCATAAAGAAGCGGTCACGTGGTAACAAGTGGAACAAACACGTGACTTTTGGGGAGGAGGAGGAAGAGGACGAGGGGATCGGGTTTATCAGGAGTGTGAAGGAGAAAGTGAGAGTTGAAACAGAGTTACAACATCTTCAGACTCTTATACAAGACATGCAGAAAGTGAGTCAATGTAGAAAACATTTTGACAGTTTTAAATGTTTCTGTCCGAAACCGTTTAGTAAGTTACTACACTAGAATCGATCACAATTTATAAATTCAACATTACGTTATGTTAGAATTCATCATGATGTAACTTTATTCAAGGTGAGTAACGGATTGGCAGAAACTGTTTTGGACAAGAGTACAGCTCTAAAACACCAGCGAGCCAGCAACAGACTTCTCGGCGAGAGGCAAGAAAAACTTAGACAATTTTTCATGGACATTTTTGTTCAGTAATTACACTTCAGTAATTACACTTCAGTTCAGTAATTATTATACTTCAGTTCAGTAATTACACTTTTAAATACGTTTGTGCTTTCAGTTCAGTAATTACTCTTTTCAATACGTTTGTGCATCAGTTCAGTAATTACACTTTTCAATACGTTTATGCTCGCTTATCAGTTACTTATCATTACGTTGATAAGACTTGCTTGTTTAACCGTTGCCGTGGTTGTATGATGTATAAATCGGAGAAATACGTGGCTTATAAGCTTGATGAAGTGAGAGATGATGCAGCTGAATTGATCCGGAAAACTCTCGGGCTTGCTGAAGCAGATCATGTTAACGCGTGTGTAGTTCAGAGTTTCAGTGGTAAAAGAGAAATCACTAGGGAAGTCATGGCTCAGAGTCTTAATGCTGCGTTAAAAATTATGTACAGACAATCGTTGTACATTGATCAGCTGGAGAAATATAATCAGAAATTGCACTCCGATGTAATTGACAGTCAGGGGACAGTAGTTGATCTGCAGAAAGAGCTGCTAGCTGCCAAAGACAAGCAACTTGATGACTTGAAATCTGTGGTTGTAGTATCAGTTGAGGATACTGTAAAATCAGAGTTAAAGACATACAGCGCCGCGGTACAGGAATCAAAAACCTCAGCAGCAGGTCCTTTGTTGGATTCGGATAGAAACATCTTGAAGAATGTCTGAATGTCATTAAGGATGTTGTGGCAGAAGGAGACCGAAGTCGGAATCTGATGTTATTTGGTATTAAAGAAGAGAAAGGTGAGCTGTTATGTGACAAGGTCGGTCAAGTGTTGTTGGAACTTGGTGAAAAGCCAAAAATAGAAGCTAACAGAATTGGTTTGAATTAACCCAAGGATAAGAAACAAGTGGCTGATAGACCTGTAAAGGTGACTTTGACGAGCTCCACAATCGTGCAGAAGATTTTGACTAGTGCAAGGCATCTCCGTAGCTCACAACTTTTCGGTAAAGTCTTTATCAGTCCAGATAGGTCTCCAGAGGAACGTGCCGAACAGCAAGAGCTTGTTTTAGAACTCAAGAAGAGATCGAACGACGAGCCAGATAAGAGACACTTCATCAAAGGAGGCAAAGTGTGTTGTGTGGACAAAATTATTGTTTGAAATGTGTTAAGACAGAGTTTTGTTTGGATTTATGGATTCTTGGTTCGCTAAGATTTTAATTTTTGATAAGATTCTAAATCATATTCGTCTTTCAACACAAGACTGTCAGTCTACTACAATTTTGTTTTGATTTGTGTATTAAGCTGAAGTATTTAATCTTACTTCCAGGTCCATAATTTCGTGCGGTGTATATTCTTAGAGTTATTTTGGTTTTATATTAGCAGATTTAGATGGAGTTGCTATCGAAGGATATAGAACTCAGGTAAACATCTAACCTGTAATAGTTTATTGTTGATTTTTCTATTATTGTATGTATAAATTCTTGAGTAAACATGAACCAGTAAACAATGCTGGTTCCCAATCAATTGTTAGGTGTTTATTGTTCAGGTGGCTTGACACGCACTAAATTTTCCCTGGGGTCACCATGATTGTGATGGTTTTGAGTGTTCGTTTTAAGAAACATTTCGCCGAATAAAAGGGTCTCGAAGTTTCTTTAAGAACTTCGGTAATAAAGATTTGAGACGAATTCTTGATTACCACCTCTGACTTACAGTAGATTTAAATGGCCTTTTAAAAACGACTTTTGTACGTCCATTTCTGGGAAAGTGGTCGACTGGTCGTCAACAGTCAACAATTTCCCAGAAATGTTGACTGTTGCACATTGCACAAGTGCAGACCTCAGTTGCACAGACTACACTACTCTGTCACATAGTGTTCAACTTAAAGGTTAAACCCTTTAGTCTGCAGTGAGCTGTAATCTGTTGTAGTTTTCGCAGACAGCCCCCACCCTTCACTATACGTCCGCATAGGTGTGGTTTATTTGAAACTGCACTATAAGTTAACTTTCCTAATCTAACTGGTTTGCACCCATTCCTAGGAACGGTAATTGGTATACTCTGAAACCCTAACATTTCATTACTCAATAGAGAGAGACAGTTGGAATTTTTGGTTTTTTTGCCGGGGTACACTCATTATCTTGGCCCGTCAACATTTTTATAAACATACCGCGGTAAATGAAAACTAAACGACGCAATGATAATTAAAATTATTTGATCACCGTTTTATCCTAGTTTTAAAACGAGTCTAAAACAGGGTGACGGAGCTGGAAGCTAAGCTGCGCGCACTGGAAATGTCCGGATTCTGGAGTGTTCCAGAAGGATGTGGTGGATCTGGAGATGAAAACAAGAGGGACCAGCTGCGGAGACTAACCCTCACTAGTGGGGTTAGTCCAGAGCCGGAGGAGAGTGGTGACCTCTTGTTAGACCCCTTCCTGGATACTGAGGGTCAGGATGTGGTGGTAACACCTTCTCCACAGCCCACTCTGCTGATCTGTGGAGAAGATCTGACCAGCGAGTATACTCAACTTTTGTCGGAGTCTCCACAGCATGACACCTCAAATGACCACCCCTCTAAGCCTATTGAACACTTCAGTATGGACAATATCAGCGACCATTTGATCACGCCAAGTGACCCGCTGTTGCCACGGGGTGACCACTTGTTGCCACATGACGAACCCTTGTTTCCACGTGACGAAAACCTGTTGCCGGGAAGTGAGCCTTTGTTGGCCGCGAGGAGCGAGAAGTTGTTTTCATATGATGATTACGCCGGGGACTCCCTGTCACGGAATGACAGTATAGGAAGCGATGATCTAGTAGATCTGTTACCGGTAAAAGAGTAGATAAGAACTATGTTTGATGAGCTACTAAAACCTGCTCGTCTCACATGACACGTGTCACGAGATTGGTCAGGTGATCTCACAAATCTTACCTAGCCCGTGCAGGAAGTGGAAATGTTTTGAATTTGAGAACACGATATTGAGTTGAGTTTTGGTGTGATGCAAGATATAGTATAACATAGGTTCTATGGAACACGCTCAGGTGACTTGAATCTTTAGATGAGTAGCATCTATTCAGGTTTTCATCCAATAGCCTGATCTGAATTTGTACTAGCGTACCTCCTTGTTTAAATAATCAAGTTCCTTAATTTGAGATTACTGTATAGTTTTTACTGTTGAGTACGTACTAGTGTTGTTAGGAGTGTGTTGAATCATGGATTTGTAATATAAGTCGAATATTGTTTTTAGGGCTGCTGGCAGTCCAGCGATCGCAGTTAAACGCTTTCTTTCATTTTGTGCAAACATCAGCTTAACTTTATAACCGAAAAATTAATTAGAGACTAAAAAAGAGGGTGTTAGTAGTAGTAGTACTAACCTGGCCAGCGCGGGTTCCTACTCATTAAACTGGGAACTGGGAAGCAGATTGGAGTAGATTACTATATTCAAACTATTGCAAATTGTAGGTCAACTTGATTAACTCACTGTGCGAGGATGGTGATTTGTGTATATTACTTCTTTGAGCTACTAATAACTTTAATCGTACCTAGTGGTTTAGTCACGCAGTTGTTCTATAGCCACCCCTTTAAATTCGGTACACCGGGGGCGCCACTTTGTTTGTTCTAATTCGGTGTAGTTCTAGAGGTTTCAAGTTCTTTTCGTCAACCTTTTTCGTGTTTTGTTCATGATTCTAGATTGAGTCCTAGCGCAATATGCTGTCTAATGCCAAGAGTTTTCACAGAAAAGCAAACATTTTAAGTTCACGTCCACAATTTTCTTGACTTTAGCTACCCCTACACCCAAAAGGTCTACTTTTGTCTCAAGAAGACTAGGGTACAATTTTTCTTTTGTCATAAAATCACTCAAGTTTTATTTACGACCAGCAGGAACCCATCTAACTCCCAAGGGGTGTCAAGAGTCAACAAAGCAATGTTCATTCATTTTGCGACTATGACACCACTTAGGGGTATATAGTTTTTTATTTCTTCAGACTGATCAAAAAGCATTCTACCCAGTCAAACAAATCCCAATCGTGTATTCTGTTAAAGCTCATATCGTGTTACAAGTAAAATCGTAATGGTATCATATCAGATATGTATTAAATTATATACAAATATATCGTCTCGCTTTACATATATATTAACTAGTAAGATATGAATCGTCACAATTCAGACTCAGTAAGAATAATCACGTGACTTCACATTTCTCATATATCTTAATTCCCAAAAATTTGGGCGACAAAAAATTTGAGCGGGCCTCTCGCCCAAATTTTTTGCAGACCAAATAAATTGCATAAATCTTTTCCGTCTGCTAAATTTTTTGCTAACCAAACTTTTGGCATTTAGCCTGTGGCCCTGAGATCTATAGAAAGATGGCTTTTTCTTCATATCCAAGTGAAATAATATTTGAAATTTTAGTTTTCTAATCTGTCATTCATGGCTTAACCAAGTGAAATGACAGATTTCACTAAAAATGAACGATTTTTAGTGGAAACTCGTTCATTTTTCGAAGAGTTTGTGCCCAAATTTTTGGTCGCCCAAATGAGTTCAAATTTTTTGCCCAACTTTTTCGGGCTCAAATAAATTGTGCTCAATATAATAGCACACAAATTTTTGGGAACTAAGGTAACCTAATGTTATTAACCTTGAATCACTTTTATACCTTTTTACTGATTTTCAATTGCTGGAAAACTTAGCAAAACCTATTAAATTGAAAACATAGAGTCAACTTGATAGCATATAATTTATTAGATATAAGATATGTTTAGTAACTAGTAAGCTCAGTTGATATTGATAAGCTAGTGATATAAGGTGTTCGTAACACTCTCTGCGTTCTAATCAGATCCAATTTTTTGCTTGTTATTCCCTCCCATTTCATCCACATAACACAACCTGTATTCTCACGCAGTGAGGAGAGCTAGAAAAACCTGTCTATTTTATCCAAAATGTGTTTAAACTCAACAGTCAGCCACTAACAAGGTCCACAACTGCCCACGTGCAGCGCTGAATGATTGGTTTGTGTCACGTGCTCCAAACGCAGCTCAGTGATTTGCCGGATTGGGATCAGGTCCGGGTATTTGATTGGTAGTGTCACGTGGTTTAGCAGGTGTGTTTACGGTTTACAGGACCGTGAGAGAAGTTTTCAACAAATTTGTATTTAACGTGCATGTTTACTCATTTCTCTGTGGGTGGAATTTGTTTCAAAAACACAAGCTGTAAGACACTGAGCGATGGGACTCCGTCTGTATAATGTGCGTTGAGTCAACCAGAGTTGTTATTGAGCTCCTTTACTGCTTATCAGACGTGCAAACTGGCCTGTCATATGAATCAGCTATCTTAATTCATACAGGAACCGGTTAATGAAAGCCAATTTGTCTAAAAATGAGTCAAAATTCGGGAAACTTTTCGTAATTGCACAAAACTTGCCTTTATTGGTTTGTATTAGCTTCGTAGATATTCGCGATTGGTAGACCGTATTTAAAATGTTCATGATTTGATTATGTATATTTTTAATCCTAATTTTGAATTAACGCAATCGCATTAACTTCATTTTTGTCTTGATAACATGTAAATGTTTATCAGGTTTAATTTCCTTGTTCTACTTCTACCATTGTTCATATGAATCTAACCATGGCCTCAGTCAGCGACTAACTTTGAATTTATGCTTCCTAATATCCTTTGACCTTGCTTCAGTTTTCAAGATTACAAATTTTATTTTAACAGTGAAATTGCAAAAATTGGAAACAATCCTTCAGAACTTATCTGGTGTCCGGAGAACTGACTTGTATCGTGTTTTGAGCTGTGATTACTCTGCATTAATGGACTGCTGTCTAAATTTTAGACAATTAAGATTCTATTTCCTGGTGCGGAATATATAAAGCTGGCAATAACATTAAGGTAACATAAAATTAGGTAGGTTACTTATATATCCACTCAATATCTGAAGAATTTTATAGTCGATTCTTCATCTGTGTTCATCCTTTCTGTCCGATGGAAGTATTTTAAATTTCTCGTCCGTTCAAACCAACATCTGAATTGGTACTAAAAACCAGTTTGCAGTCAATAAATAAGAATATAGTGTTACTTTATTTCGGACCAGCACCTGCCAAACAAATGGAATCAGGAATAGTGCAAAATGATTAAGTTTCCATCACTTAGCGTCCCATACCTCCCCGGAATAGTTTTAGATTAAAAGGTTGACACTCAACTGATAAATAAGTGGCTTGTCGTAGCTCACAAATGGGCTCAGAAGATTAAAGATTTTGTGATAATTTGAAGTTTGGGGTTGAAGTCTTTGCTGATCGGGTACGCTGTTGAGGTACTGGCTATATCAGGGGTTACTGTGACATATTGTCATTTCTTTGAATCACGTTTATTGATAAGACTAAAAGCTTTGCCCCTCAAAGTTATGATCCTTAGTGCTTATCTGTGATCCGGATTGTTATTTGAGTTGCTATTCGTGGTGTTGGGATGGTGGTGTCTCTTATCGCTTATCTTATCTTTATTGCTCTCTCTCTCTCTCTTTCGCATGTCACAGCAAGAATTTATAGGTTGCGTTTATCATTTTGTGCCGTAATATTGAGTCATCAAATCTCTTAGAGATGCCCAATTACAAGTTCCCGTTTTTCTCAAACCTGAAATCAGATTATCGTTATTATTGTTATCAGATTATTTAAAAAAACCCTGCAGCAGCAGTAACCAGATCCCAGATGAGTATGTCGTGTAAATCGTGGACTTACCCGGAGACCCAGGCACTGTTGGATATCTGGCAGCAGGAGCATATACAGACCCAGCTCACTCTCATGGCAAGGAACAGGCCTGTATGGGAACAAGTTGCTGAGATCATGAAGGTAGGGGGCTTTTTATTTGCGATAGATCTGAGAACTTTGATTTACTGGGCCCGGTAAATCGCACCTCGGCCCAGGTGATTTGTTTAACCTTAAAATCAGATTTCCTAGGTTGATCAAGGATCTAGATTTTTGCACTAGATATTCTTACTCAACATTTCGAAAAGATGTTTTTAAACCTAGCTCCGATTAGATGTGTTGTGTATCGTCAACTAAATTCAAATCATAAATATTGCGCAATTCTGATTTAGATTCAATATTTTCTCTAAATACTTATATAAAACATCTTCTTTAGGTAAAAGCTTCAAATCAACTCTCCCCGCAGTATCGTAAAGGATTCAACCGAACCGGAGAACAATGCAAGACCCGTATCCACACGCTCAAAATCCGCTACAACAGAGCCAAGAAGTTTGGCTTATCGGGACCTGAAGCTGAGAAGGAGTGCCCTTTTTACAGACAATTAGACGTACGTATTTGAAATTTAGTTTTGAGAACCAATCCCAGAACAAGAACTGAAGTTCACCACTGTTTATGCTCTACTGCCAAGTTAGTGATTGGGTGGCGGCAGTGCCAGTACGGGCTTGGAACCTAATTACCGCGGCACCAAAATTGTCTCAAAGTTCAAATTTACGAAAGTTGTCCTTAACCCCTCTAATAACTATTCCAGGCTGTGTTGGGTAAGAACTGGATTAAGAAACAAGAACTAGATCACAACTCTCCTCCCTCATCTACCTCCAACTACACCAACTCCCCGATCACTTCCCTCTACCCTCTTACTTTCGCTAACGATATCGATAGGCTCAGTAAGTTTTGCTTTCGTCGATATGTATGGAATTGGAGAAGTTTTAATTTGGATGATTTGAAAAGTTAATAGGTTCGAAAGATCATCTATACTACTAAGATCATCTATAGATATCTATACTGCTAATTGAAACGACCGCCCTTTATTTTACTCAGATTTTATTATAAAATGTGAGCTAAGATAAGAAGGCTATGTATAGCAATTTTATTTTCGGGCCGTGTGAGTACGTGTGTGATTGCGAGAGGTGTTAGCAATTTCTCTGTCAACTTTGAATCACTAAATAATAATCATCACTATTCACTTCTAACTGATCTTTAAACATCTCAGGTCACTCCGGAATGATACAGATCTTACCAAAACCCATTCCCAAATACGTAGACACCGCATTTTCTAAGGTAAGATTTTTATTCAGATTTGTTAAATTGTTAAAACAATTAGTCTTGGAGAGCGTGATTTTTTGGAAATGCAGTGGACCTAAAAATAGGACCTGTAATCGAACTTAGTCCACTACGATTAAATAAAAGGAAATCCTGGAAAAATAACATGCATTAATAACATGTATTTAAAAGATCAAAATTTCCCTCAAAAATTTGTCATAACTGGTGATCACTCGTCGGTAGACATTCGGTCACAGTCCATCGTTTACGCGACAAGGGTGACCATTTAGGTTTTAAGGCTTTTACTTACTGTGGAAATTTGAAGTACATTTTTTGATAATACCAATTCTCTACGAGTTGAAGAACCTAACTCTCTAATTTTCTAGGTGGGAGGACCTGGGCTGAAGTTACCTTCAGAGAAGCTAGAAGACATGATGGGTGAGCACAACATGTTGATAAAGAGGATGTTGTCGAGTCTTACCGGTAAAGTTGCCGACCAACAACAGTTCCTGAAAGAGTCAGATCAAGCTGGATTCGAGGAACTCATCAAGTCTCTCATAACTTCTCCTTCCACTACCGGGTATGTTTATTCTTTAAAGTCTTGATTAGGCCATAAAAATAGATTTTCGGAAGAAAATAATTCGTGGGAATGAATTTTTGGATAAGGAATTCTATAGAATTTTGTAAGGATCTGAAATCTATCGTTGAAGTACGGTAAATAAAAACCATGGCGCGCGTTATTTCTATTTTGAGTCGGCAGTCCCTTCACAGTTACTTCCGCAGCAACCGCTTTCACTTTTAAAATTGTCCCGAAAGATCCAAACATTTCCGCTCCCACTAAATCGCTCGCCCAATTTTTTTTAAATTCTTGTGAAAAGTCTCTGAAGGTATGAATCTAATCTAGTTCCGTGTGTTTTTGGACGCTAACTCCGAATCACCCCCCCCCCCCCCCCCTCCCCCCATGACGTAGGGTAAAAATGCTTCCCTGGAGAGTTATGGGGGAAAAAAACATTTTGGTCACATGACAGGCTAGTAAAACACGAATTTGATCGTTTAGGGCTCGGGTTAGAGTTAGGGTTGTGGTTAGGGTTATGGATAGCTTCGGAGTTAGGTTTAGGGTTAGGGTTGGGATTAGGTTTTATGTAAAACAGTATTGTTCAGCTGCAAAACTATAAAAATCAAAGTCACGTGATAATTGTTGGGCAAGCGAATTAGTAAGAGCCAAACATTTCTGTAGAATGGTTCAATAAAACCCCACTACTACTTCAGACCGGCACAACCCCCGAGAAGCATCAAAGCAGATCTCAGTAACCCTACCTCACCCCTCACTCCGTCCACCACTGAACCGGACGAAGCAACTAGTCACGTGACCACACCCACTAGTCAAGTGACCACGCCCACTTTTAGTGAGGAGTTACCTGGTGAGGAATTTATATGAAAGTGTAGACTGTAGATCACTGAGTACAAAACCATTGTTTTAAGTCGTCGATTATCGGGCTGTTGTATTTTGAATGTGTGGTAACTGGTAGCGGAATCCCGAAATTCAATAGTCACGATGAGTAGAGTTGGTCTGGTAGTAGTAGCCTAGTAGGATATAGAAGAAATCTAAACTCATTTCAGTGATCTCAGCTAGGTGATAATTATACATTAGCATAAACTCTTTGAATTGTATCGCAATAGTAACCGAACACCATTGCAGCGAGCAAGAGACGAAAAGTAGCAGTCAGTGAATCAGACGAGAAGCTGGTGATGCTTGGAAGTATCGCTCAAATAATTAACAATGTATCGGAACTGAACAAGAACATTAAAATGTCTCAGGTAAAGTTTTCCATTCTAATTGTGTTTAATGTTAAATTTACCAACTTTTGAGTTTTGAGCAACGAGCATTGTCAAAATATTGCTCCATTAGTTTGTGATCTTTATGAAAGCAAAACCAGTGTGATTGATGCGAATAATTTGACGGTTAAACCACTCATCAAAACTTTTAGTTCGCTTGAAAGTTGTACTATTAAAAAAGCATCCTACATCTATCCTGTATCTAACAATTAATACACGTGTGCAGGGTCAGGAGGATCTGAAGATGAGGTGGTGGATGGAGATGCAGGAGAAGAGATTCGACCTAGAAAAGGAGCACTTCAAAACCATGGAGGGACTCTTTTCTAATCTTATCAGTGTAAGTTTTAATTCAAAAAATTCGAATTAATATTTGTTTCTCGTTGTTCTGTATGACAGTTTCCCTGAATTCTCTAAGAAATGATGTATTCTCAGATTAATATTTGCTTCATTTTCAGTACTTTACAAACGCGGATGTAAAATCGGTTTCTGATTCTCTCTGCTCTGAACCAACCGCTCAAGAATAGATGAATTATTCTGAGAAACAATATTCAAGAATATTCCCTGAAAAATTCGATGCTCAAGATCCGTTCTTACTCTGATATGTCGCAGTTGATTTCTCTTTGATTCCGAATTAATTGAACATTCTGTTACAGAGTGAGAGAAAGTAAAAGAACAATTCGTGATTGAATTAATTTTCAAGAAAATAACAGTAGTGCACTAGCATGAAAATGTGTCCTGGCCTGTAAATAGAGTTTTTTATATATTCATCTAAATTATATAGGTCAGAACAATTTGTTATTAATAATAAACTAGTAAAAGATGAAGGTGAGTATTGCGATGAATGCTATTTAAAGATAACAGCTCTGAATGACTTTAAATCTGTATCATAATTAACATTATGAGTATAATTATTGTTGATGCTGATCCATGTTTAATGATTGTTCTCAGAATACAGAAGATTGATATGATATGATTTACGAGTTCTACACTTGTAAAGTGTGTAAGCGCAATAAAAGTAAACGTGCCAGATTAAGAGTTAGAATTTAGATCACACTAAAGTGTAAGATAAAGTTTTTGCTACTCAAAATTTAGTACAATGTTTTCTGCGGTACAGTTGCTGCAGATGATCAGTGAAACATGATCAGCTCATCAGCTTACCAAATAGGAAATTGGCAAATTGCGAAATACTACTAATGGTTCAATTACGAATGCGATATAGTTTTATTTTTAAATTTCTTTGATCCAACAAAAGACACATGATTTTACAATATTCCAAGTATTTATATTGTCGATGATTTATTTGTTAAATTATTAATTCTCTTTGTTATTATCATAAACTGTCTTAATTGTTGGTGAAACAGGATTATACTTACCGAAAACTAAAAGTAAAAGTCAACACTCAAAACGAAAACTAACTATATTGTCTATGATAGTATATAGAATGAAATTATTGACGGATGTTACTCGTCTAAATTTCTTCGAAGTAGCGCGCGCCGCTTTCTTCTCGAAATATTTCCCCTCTACGTCATGGGGGGTGATTCGGAATCATGAGCGTCCAAAAATACACCGATTTTGATCGATTTCATACCAAAAGGGCCTTTTCACAAGAATTTTCTTAAAATTTGGGCGACCCGTTTAAAAGTTTTCCCGGGTAAAATTGCAAAAAACGTATTTTGTTCTTAAAAATAGTAGGCATTGCGCCATCGACCGTACGTAAGACTTGTTAGTTTATAACCTACCAAAACGCGCGCCGAGTTGGACTCGTCGACGGTCCTGATATATGGAAAAAATATAAGTCCTAATATATACGATCCTAATATATGGAACATACGTTGTATGACCCGCCGCGTACGCGCTCCCCTGTTATGTGTAAGTATGTATAGTATCGTACCTTGATTGACGATGTCAATCCTTCGCATCTCGCCGATCTGCATAAGTGGTTGCGAGAAGCTTTATTGGATGCGCGACCCAGTAGTGCATCGCGTTAACTGACGATGTCAATCCTTCGCATCTCGCCGATCTGCATAAGTGGTTGCAAGAAGCATTATTGGATGCGCGGCCCAGTAGTGCATCGCGTTGATTGACGATGTCAATCCTTCGCATCTCGCCGATCTGCATCTGTGGTTGCGAGAAGCATTATTGGATGCGCGCGCGCGACCCAGTAGTGCATCGCGCTACAATGCATCGCGCTACAATATTGTACCTTGGTGAAACAACCGTTGGGTTGACGGATGTTACTCGTCTAAATTTCGTCGAAGTAGCGCGCGCCGCTTTCTTTTCGAAATGTTAAATGGCCCGATGGCAAGTGCAACGAAGTAGCGCGCCGGGCCAAATCATTAACAATGGTCAAACCGTGGGGTACGATACAAAAAATACGTCGATTCAGGAATTGGTTTTAATTGTTTCACGTCGTGACCCTCATCGTTGATCGTGATTTCATTTTAAACGTGTCGACGATCGAGTGATTTATATTTGACCATTGTCATGTTAATGATCAGGCCCGGCGCGCGCCACTTCGTAGCACTTGCCATCGGGCCAACATTTCGAGAAGAAAGCGGCGCGCGCTACTTCGAAGAGATTTCGACGAGTAACATCCGTTAAGTGATTTAGCACGCTCGTTTCACCTACCAATCATGTGCTTTCGCGCCTTTCTACCGCCGGGAGGCGGGCGCGCGCCACTGTAAGCGCTCGGGCTCTGGATAGAGCAACACACTCGTTTATTTTAACCCATATTTTCTCACAAGATAGAAAATAATGTTATCTTATTGCTGTCAAAACAGTTGACGGATATTACTCGTCTAAATTTCTTCGAAGTAGCGCGCGCCGCTTTCTTCTCGAAATGTTGGCCCGATGGCACGAGCTACAAAGTAGCGCGCGCCGGGCCAAATCATTAACAATGGTCAACACAATTAGCTATTGAGTCAAAATTACACTAGCGGAATCATATGAAGTTGAACCCCCCCCCCCCCCCCATTTAAGGTAATATGTGAATGACTGGCTGTCTACTATTTTATGGTTTGGTTTGTACGTGATTTTTACAGTGCATTCCTTGACGAGTGGGATAATGAGCTAAGAGGAAAAGAGGAGTGGAGAAACGAGACGCTTCTTGGAACTAAACTTGGATCAGAGCAGGATGTTACAAATAGAATAAATAAACAATAAAGCTAACACCGCCTTCTGGTCATTTGACAAGCTGTGGTGCCAGGGATATATCAGAAAGGAGTCAGTTGGAGGACTTCGCCGCTTCGACGCGCCGCGCGAACTAGCATTCTTGCTTCGCATCGTCGATCGTCGATCGTTGCTCTGCTTCGCAGAGCAACGATCTCGATGGGTTGACATCGTCAACCAAAGGAGTCAGATAACTGAGAAGAGAAAGATCAAACTCTACGACTCACTAGTAGTATCAGTGCTCCTGTACAACTGCTGCTGCTGGGCCGTACCTCAGCATGTTCTAGAGTCTGTAGATGTTGTTCAGAGGAAGCACCTCAAGCGCATCCTACATATCTATTGGCCTAGCTCAATATCTAACAAGGCCCTCTACGCTCGTACCCAGACCAGGCCCCTTTCCGAGAGAGTGGAAAAGGCACGGTGGACAATGCTAGGTCATGTTCTACGCAGTGACAACGACACGCCTGCCTACCAGTCTCTGTTATTTGCTACACTAGGATGTCAAAGTTGAACCCCCACCCCCCCCCCCCCCCCCATTTAAGGTAATATGTGAATGACTGGCTGTCTACTATTTTATGGTTTGGTTTGTACGTGATTTTTACAGTGCATTCCTTGACGAGTGGGATAATGAGCTAAGAGGAAAAGAGGAGTGGAGAAACGAGACGCTTCTTGGAACTAAACTTGGATCAGAGCAGGATGTTACAAATAGAATAAATAAACAATAAAGCTAACACCGCCTTCTGGTCATTTGACAAGCTGTGGTGCCAGGGATCAGAGAGGAGTCAGTTGGAGGACTTCGCCGCTTCGACGCGCCGCGCGAACTAGCATTCTTGCTTCGCATCGTCGATCGTCGATCGTTGCTCTGCTTCGCAGAGCAACGATCTCGATGGGTTGACATCGTCAACCAAAGGAGTCAGATAACTGAGAAGAGAAAGATCAAACTCTACGACTCACTAGTAGTATCAGTGCTCCTGTACAACTGCTGCTGCTGGGCCGTACCTCAGCATGTTCTAGAGTCTGTAGATGTTGTTCAGAGGAAGCACCTCAAGCGCATCCTACATATCTATTGGCCTAGCTCAATATCTAACAAGGCCCTCTACGCTCGTACCCAGACCAGGCCCCTTTCCGAGAGAGTGGAAAAGGCACGGTGGACAATGCTAGGTCATGTTCTACGCAGTGACAACGACACGCCTGCCTACCAGTCTCTGTTATTTGCTACACTAGGATGTCAAAGTTGAACCCCCCCCCCCCCCCCCCCCCATTTAAGGTAATATGTGAATGACTGGCTGTCTACTATTTTATGGTTTGGTTTGTACGTGATTTTTACAGTGCATTCCTTGACGAGTGGGATAATGAGCTAAGAGGAAAAGAGGAGTGGAGAAACGAGACGCTTCTTGGAACTAAACTTGGATCAGAGCAGGATGTTACAAATAGAATAAATAAACAATAAAGCTAACACCGCCTTCTGGTCATTTGACAAGCTGTGGTGCCAGGGATATATCAGAAAGGAGTCAGTTGGAGGACTTCGCCGCTTCGACGCGCCGCGCGAACTAGCATTCTTGCTTCGCATCGTCGATCGTCGATCGTTGCTCTGCTTCGCAGAGCAACGATCTCGATGGGTTGACATCGTCAACCAAAGGAGTCAGATAACTGAGAAGAGAAAGATCAAACTCTACGACTCACTAGTAGTATCAGTGCTCCTGTACAACTGCTGCTGCTGGGCCGTACCTCAGCATGTTCTAGAGTCTGTAGATGTTGTTCAGAGGAAGCACCTCAAGCGCATCCTACATATCTATTGGCCTAGCTCAATATCTAACAAGGCCCTCTACGCTCGTACCCAGACCAGGCCCCTTTCCGAGAGAGTGGAAAAGGCACGGTGGACAATGCTAGGTCATGTTCTACGCAGTGACAACGACACGCCTGCCTACCAGTCTCTGTTATTTGCTACACTAGGATGTCAAAGTTGAACCCCCACCCCCCCCCCCCCCCCATTTAAGGTAATATGTGAATGACTGGCTGTCTACTATTTTATGGTTTGGTTTGTACGTGATTTTTACAGTGCATTCCTTGACGAGTGGGATAATGAGCTAAGAGGAAAAGAGGAGTGGAGAAACGAGACGCTTCTTGGAACTAAACTTGGATCAGAGCAGGATGTTACAAATAGAATAAATAAACAATAAAGCTAACACCGCCTTCTGGTCATTTGACAAGCTGTGGTGCCAGGGATCAGAGAGGAGTCAGTTGGAGGACTTCGCCGCTTCGACGCGCCGCGCGAACTAGCATTCTTGCTTCGCATCGTCGATCGTCGATCGTTGCTCTGCTTCGCAGAGCAACGATCTCGATGGGTTGACATCGTCAACCAAAGGAGTCAGATAACTGAGAAGAGAAAGATCAAACTCTACGACTCACTAGTAGTATCAGTGCTCCTGTACAACTGCTGCTGCTGGGCCGTACCTCAGCATGTTCTAGAGTCTGTAGATGTTGTTCAGAGGAAGCACCTCAAGCGCATCCTACATATCTATTGGCCTAGCTCAATATCTAACAAGGCCCTCTACGCTCGTACCCAGACCAGGCCCCTTTCCGAGAGAGTGGAAAAGGCACGGTGGACAATGCTAGGTCATGTTCTACGCAGTGACAACGACACGCCTGCCTACCAGTCTCTGTTATTTGCTACACTAGGATGTCAAAGTTGAACCCCCCCCCCCCCCCCCCATTTAAGGTAATATGTGAATGACTGGCTGTCTACTATTTTATGGTTTGGTTTGTACGTGATTTTTACAGTGCATTCCTTGACGAGTGGGATAATGAGCTAAGAGGAAAAGAGGGGTGGAGAAACGAGACGCTTCTTGGAACTAAACTTGGATCAGAGCAGGATGTTACAAATAGAATAAATAAACAATAAAGCTAACACCGCCTTCTGGTCATTTGACAAGCTGTGGTGCCAGGGATCAGAGAGGAGTCAGTTGGAGGACTTCGCCGCTTCGACGCGCCGCGCGAACTAGCATTCTTGCTTCGCATCGTCGATCGTCGATCGTTGCTCTGCTTCGCAGAGCAACGATCTCGATGGGTTGACATCGTCAACCAAAGGAGTCAGATAACTGAGAAGAGAAAGATCAAACTCTACGACTCACTAGTAGTATCAGTGCTCCTGTACAACTGCTGCTGCTGGGCCGTACCTCAGCATGTTCTAGAGTCTGTAGATGTTGTTCAGAGGAAGCACCTCAAGCGCATCCTACATATCTATTGGCCTAGCTCAATATCTAACAAGGCCCTCTACGCTCGTACCCAGACCAGGCCCCTTTCCGAGAGAGTGGAAAAGGCACGGTGGACAATGCTAGGTCATGTTCTACGCAGTGACAACGACACGCCTGCCTACCAGTCTCTGTTATTTGCTACACTAGGATGTCAAAGTCAAACGCTAAAGGGACGAGTGGGTAGACACAGGACTAATTTGTATGATATTATTGTGAAAAAGGACCTATTTAAGAGACAAATTTATTTGAAAAACGAAGATGATTTTACCAACTTAGTGAACTTAGCAAGAGATAGAGTAGGATGGAGGAGTTTATTTACTTTGAGACATATTGAACGAATGAGTCTTTGTAAGCGTAAATAGGCCAGCACTTTGCTGAGCCTCTTTAGGTGCTCTTTTGTTTATCTATAAACATCTATAGATGTTATTATATATATATATTCCTTGACACACGCTGTAACCCCTCTTGATCGCGCGGGCCGCAAAAGGCCTCTCTCGCCGGCCGGCGTGCACGAGAGGTATACAACGTGTAGCAATGCATTCCCTAAGTTTGACCCGTAGCACCCGTATGAGCCGAAGACCAGCCTTAACATTTTACTTCGCTCAAATTTTCGACGAAGTAAAATGTGTAGCAATGAATTCCCTAAGTTTGACCCGTAGCACCCGTATGAGCCGAAGACCAGCCTTAACATTTTACTTCGCTCAAATTTTCGACCTCGCTCTCACTAAAACTAAAAGGCTATTTTCAATTTTGCCTAAACACTACATTGTAATTTAACCATTACAGTTGCTACGGACTGGGATGGGTCCATATTTTCATGACCACATACCCATTACCCAATACAATAGAGATAGTAAAACGTATCTTCAATTATGATATCTGTTTAAATTGTGTGAAGTCATAGCCATAATATTATGGGATACCCACAAATTGTATTAAGAATACAAATTTGGGCCATAATCTAAAGTTAGTTCCCAATTATCATGTGTCGTGGACGCCATATTATGCCAATTATAATCTTCATTTTAACTAAAAATAAACTAAACATTTCCATTCTCAGAACTATTTTCAAGTGTCATGTCTCACTTTTCCAAACACACGCTCATTTTTTATTTCCTAACATTCAACAGCCCCTCTTACCATCATGCGATAACATGATGTACAGCCATTAGTCATTATACTATGGCTAATTATCTCCCTATGTATTTACACGCGATTGATACTTTGACACCTCATCGAAATTCTTTCCACACCGGTAGACAAATGAATACAGCAATCTTAACACAAGAAAAACGGAATGATTGTGCTTAATTTAGTAAAGGAATAAGGCCTTTTAAATTGCGAGGTCGACCAAAAATCTTTAAAACAATGAATACAGCCGTTTCGAAAAATCAGCACATAGATGTTTTGAAGATTCTTACTCTATCGCGGTGGACTATATAGTAACAATAGAGGATAACACATATTGATATAGATATCCAAGTACAGAGAAGATAATCACAAAATCAATTTTTAGTTTTGGGCACATCAGACGCGCGCACGTGGGCGTCAGACGCGCGCACGTGGGCGTCAGAGTCCTTACTGTCCCCACTATTCGTCCAGGTCTTTCGATCAGATCCCTGTGAGAAAGGATTTGGTTACGAACGTTCAGCAGAGCTTTCAAGAACAACTGGTAGCATACAATCGTTTCACATATTTAAAAAGTGCTCATATAATATATATAGCAATCTAATCATCATTCCCATTGCACGAAAAGAAAAACACATCGTAACAACATAAAATAAATCTATCGAAAATCAAAAAGCAAGTACTATTAGCTATTCAATTACCTTCCGAGCATTGTCTTCATCCTGCCTTTTTTCATAATGCCCGAAATCATCGAAAATAGAAGTAGAGTGTTTGTAGTCATGAATTATGCGCATGAGTTGCATTCCCTTGTCTCTGGGAACCTCTTGAGTGTCCCTAGAGTTTGTAACAGGCTTGTTATCGTTGTTCTCAAGTTTTATATGACGAAGCTGGTTGTTCGGAACGTCCTTCACATAAACCCATTTCACGTCAAATTTACCCTTCCATTTGTCTTGAGACCAGACCCCGGTACATATGTTGGTATCTACCCCAGAGTTCATTTCAGCAACACCACAAAAATGGCCGCTCCCGTTTACACTGTACACCAGATAGATAGGCCCCTTTTTGTTAGAGTCATTCCACGCTTCATTCAACCTCTTGTTACCGTGTTCAGTACTTGTCCATATGTTGTACTTAATTGACCGATGAATGTCGTCTTCAGAATAAGATTTTATTACAAAATACCGAGCATTTTTCAAGTCCAACGTAAGTTCCCGGGGATTATACTGATTTTCTGATCTGAGTTTCTCGAGAACTGCTGGAGGAGGCGGCGGTCTCGTGTCAATGATGTTGGGATATTCAGGTCCCTGATTGAATGTGCCACGAGTTTGACTCCACCGAACCCCACCTCTCATACGGGTCTGCCCTGGCCCTCCAGGTCCTGGTTTCATAGCAAAACCAGTGGGTGCAGGTTCTGGCTTGGGTTTAGGCTTAGCAGGCTGACTAGCTATCGCTGCCCAAGATTTAGGTCCAGTCTCAACAGGAGCAGGTGCAGGGGCCGGCTCTGCGTTATCAGTTGGTTTTAAATTACTGAAAGATTCGGTAACCTGATCTAATTCAGAAGCAGTCGATTGCAGAGGTTTACTTTTCTCCTGATTAATCGGGTAATGTCCGGCGTTCGGAAAGGAATTAAAGGAGTTAAAACCTTGCATAGGGGGCAACCCAGCTGTAGTCCAATAATCATTGGTATTATTAGGTGAGAAATAGACCGGTAAGTTCGGTTGGTATAGCGATGAAGTAGATGTTAGAGTTGGAGAGGCCGGATACCCGTGCTCGCTGTTGAAATCTCTGAAGTCATGAAGCGGTTGCGAGGTTGGCAGCTGGTTGTACTGACCGTCGAAAGCCCCGTTAGACCAAGTTCCACCCAGTGGGCCGATGTTGTCGTAATTGTTGTTGATGAACGGAAAAGCGGACATAGCTGGAGGCGAGTTCAGAGCTGACGTGGCGTAGTACATTGTCGGCAGGTAGTTAGGATCCATGATGGGTTGTTGACCTAACGGTTGTGGAACACTCAACTGAGGACCCGTCCCCTGAAAGGGTGCAACATTAATTAGATTACAATCGTTGGTAATTTAGTTAGGACTGACCAGTGACCTTAGTTCTACAAACTATGTGTTTGAATATCAAGAAATCTAAAACTGCGCTTAATCTCCGAGCGTGCATTTTGAAAACGCCGCGCGCTTTAGACTTTTCATTGCTACAACTTGTTTTTCGAAGACCGTTTGAGCTTTTTAGTAGGAAATTGTGACAGGGACACATGACTGGACTGTGACTTCAGGTTGCGTCACCTTAAAAATTAAAATTGATAGCTGCATCAGATGCACTCGAGTAATTCAAACTGTCAAAAACTATTTCTACGCGAGAAAAGGAGTCTGCTGAGGGAAAGGTGTGTCGCGTCACTTCATACGAATAGAATGGCAAATTTTAAATTGACAAGGCTAACTATCAGCTTCCTGGTTGTACATATACATAACAGGTGGCATACCTACACCTATTTAGAGCGCAGAACTTACCCCGATTGGAATTCGATTAATACTGTCGTCAAGGGCAGCCTTCGTACTTTTACTCGAGAAAAAGTCGTTTGAAAATCAGGCGATCAGACGACGTTTAAATAAAAATTGGAAATTTGATAAACTGTCCTGGATAATGATCCCTCTTATCTTTCGGTTTGAAATTCGAGCAGTGGCTGAACAAAAATTGCAATGAATAAATGCCAACATTTTCTAGAAATGCGATTATGGATTATAAACTTTCTGTATTGTAACTAAACCACCTGCTTCCCCCACTGAGGATGGTATTTATTTATGGCACCATTCGCAAGGTTGGCAAAATGTAAGTTTTGATTCAGAACGTCATCAATTTCGAAATTTTTTAGATGATATAAAAATACAAAGTTCAACTTCAAAGCTAAAATTGGCAAAATTTGGTGCCCCTGTAAAATTGTAGGTTTTGAAACTGCTGAGTGCTGAGAAATCCTCACATAGTGAATTAAGAAACGTCCAGAATATAATTAATCGTTACAAATTGTGCACAAAGATCTATACATGTAAAATTCTGCGTTCTACCCTGGCCATTTAAAAACACTTGTATAGTTGGGCAATTCCACGGTAAGGTTCCACTTGGTGAAAATGAAAAATGTTAAGATAGGCACCTAATTTTGGTTAAAATATGTTCATTAGACTCTTAACCTTACAGTTCAACAAAAGTTTTTTGTTTCACATTGCGTTAACTTTTGATTTTTCTCATTCAAAGGAACACTACTCGGAAATTTAAAAAATCATTCAAATTTTCAAAGGGCCATAGTTTGGGTATGCAGCAATATTTCTCTATGAAATTCCACACACTTGGGCATAGGCATAAGAATGAGAGCTATGCAAAGTTTCAAAACCGTTACTAAAATACTTTTTCTAAAAAATTTCCACAAAGATGGTGTCGCGTCCGTCACAAAATTAAGCAAAAAAGTTTTTTCAGAGCCACATAGTGCTATTTATATTCAAAAAACCACTGTAACCTATCTCTTCTGAAGGTAAGGGAGTACCGTAGAAATTATCAGGCTTGTATCTTTTAAGAAAAAAATTTTGGAAGGGGGGTCCCAACTTGTCGCGTCCGTCACATTTTTTTGAAAATGCCCCCAAAATTCTTTAAACAGACTTTAAATGCATTTTTCTTAAAGCTGAGGCCGTCCTCAACAAAACTATGTCGTCAAATCGAAAATTGGACAAAAAATGACCGAGTTATGTTTAATTTTGTATATGCCCATATATGGGCGTACGAGTCACTTTTAGCTATTTTTATCCCTATTTCCATTATTTTGACTAAAACCAAGACAAATAGAAGTCAAATAAAGTTGGATTGTGTTGACTATGTTGACTAGACTATCAAATAACATCATATGCAATTCAATAATTAAATTTACTGAGTTTTTGCCATTTTATTTGCTTACAACTTTTCCAGAGGTAAAAGGCACAAAAAATGGACTTAACCCTATTTTCGCATAATTTTGAAGTAAAAATTCAATATCTTCCACATTTTAAACACTAAAGTAATGAAACTTTTAGGAGATGGTCTCAACAGTATGATGTGTTGAACAGTGATGAATGTTTTATATTCGTTCAAGTAGAGAAATAATTGATGCCCCTAGACTGATACCCTAGCGTATGTCCAAAATGGACGATTTTGGCTATTGCAGACCTATTTGGGGTATTTGAGGCCTAAAAATTGGAATGAATACAGATTAGATGTCACTGAACAAGATAAAAGTGTCAAGTGGAAGATTTGGAAAAATTGAAAAAAAAACGTGTGTCCGTCACAGTCGCGTCTGTCACAATTTGAAAATGGCGCCACGCAAACAGGAATTGAGCAATCTCCAAGAAAATGGCATCTCAGAAATCCCTAAACCTTCTTCTATCATTGTAATTCCAAATTAGAGACAATAGATAACTTTTTGAGATAAATTTGGGTACCATCTGAGTAGACACCCAAAAAAAGTGTCATATTTAAGTCGCGTCCGTCACAGGGGTGCTATCTCAGAAAGTAATAATGGTAGGGGTCTGAAATTTTCACACAACCTGTAGAAAGGTTAAATGTGGACTAATAAACAGTTGGAGCTGATAAATAAACAACATCTCGAGTACAACATTCGTTTGAACTTTTAAAAACAGCAAAATCGTGGTGTCCGTCACGGTGGAATTGCCCAGTTGTAAAATTTGAGCACGCAATGCCATGAACAGAAAAAATTAAGCAAAATATTCATGCATGTTCATCGAGTGTAAAATGTAAATGCTAAGCTGAAATGCGGTTATTCTTGTTAGCTGTTGTGTAACCACCTCATTTTTTCTTCAGATTAAGAGAATTTCCCGGTTCATTATACCCATTAAAACCATGATATCGAACAACATCAAATAGATTCTAAAAATATGTTTCAAAATATTTCATTAACCACTACATTTCTTCTTACCGTAAGGTATTGGTTAAAATATTTGACTACCACTTGTGGACAGCACTAAATACAATTTTGTCCTAATTACCAGATGATTTGTCCGGTTAACAGAAGCTGTTCCTTATAGGTCAGGTTCTGTCACATGAATTATACAAGTAGCTTCATATTATATACACTTAAATCATTCTAATGTTATTCATTTATTCAATTGTGCTGCGACTCATCTACATAACACGCACCAGTGCCGTATATAAACTGTCACTGCACGTGACATAATCACGTGATAAGGTATCCTAACTAGCACTGTGGTGGGACTTGGTTACATGCAACTCTTTCACCTGATTAGATTCCCAATTTTATTATAGAGAATTTGAACACAAAGTTTTTCGAAAAACAGTCTAGCAGAATTGTTGAATATGTCGGCAAACAGCTGGATAACGAGGGTAGTCAGTCATTAAGAGTCATTAAGAGTCATTAAGAGTCATTAAGAGCCTTAGATCCCTCACGAGAAATTACAATTGGTAGCTCGAAAGAAGCTGGCTGAATAAATGCAATTATATAGAATAGCTTACCGCCTCTCGGTTAAAATACACACTTTGTGCCGCATAAATGTGCTCAAGCTGTTTAAGTAATTGTAACGCACAATAGTAATACGACGATAACCATAATATTACTAAAGTAACTTTAATATTGCAAGATAAGATTATTTATATTTGATTACGTGTCATTCAATTATACCCACTTCTGTTTGTCCAATATCTAGAGAATTTTGCGAAAATTCCTAATTTATATTCAGTTGAATATCTTGAAGTAATGGAAGCTGCTAGTTTTGTAAAAGATTGTCAAAGAACTATAGACAAAAAGGGGCTAAAATACAAAGAAAAAGGTTTCAACATTTATTAAATCTCTTAAAGTTAACAAATTAAAATTCGAAAATAAGGTGCATGTTTGGCAGAGAGAGGAGAAGACAGAAAAAGACATGTCAATCAATCCACATGTATGTAAAGGTTATAAGGGTGCATGTGATTATTGAAGACACGACATTTCAAGGTTTAGCTGCATACCAGATTAGTATTACTTCCGTACCATACTGCTCAGGTATGTAGGAGTACACAGTAAGAAACCCAGCAATTTGACTTAAGTTGAGTGTCCTCAACACTTAACCAGGTCTCATTCACATCTCAACATTGCCTTACACTATACCCATTGCAAATATACATTGCACTGTACATTACAGTACACTCAGATCACAGGAGATATTGTTGTCTTTTCTAAATATAACTGTTATACATTGATGTAAAGTTTATTTGAATTTTGAAATAAAATTACATTGCACTATACCCATTGCCCACTCTTTACACTGTACGATATACACTGCATTAAACACAACGGTTAGGAGACGGGTCAAATTGTGTGTTGGTATGTGACAGCATGTCTGGACTAATGTGTCCTACCTCCCTACCCGTAGTAGTTTGTAAAATGTGTTAAGAGTTACCTGATCCTGCTGAGCTGGATGATAGTTCATAAATTATTCAGTTCTTCATCAACCTAGTGATAGGTGTTAAGTCAGTTAGAATTGAGTCGGTATTATTTGGTTTAATTCTTGACACAAGATACAATCAAAACATAACTTCAAAGTATAAAAAGATAATAAGATTATAAGGTGAAAACAGACTATGTACCTTAGATTTAACAGACAACAAGTTGAGGGAATAAAAAACTCCAGTTTCAAACATAGGATTAGCATAAACTTTTGCAGCTTTGTTAAGTTAAGGTTTCCCAGGTTTAGGATAAGATGTCAGCGCTTCTTAGCATGCAGCTGAGTACCGAGCAACTAATCAGTTAATAATTTGATCAGCTGATCCCACCAGCTGATTAGATTTAAAATGCAACATGTGCTCTATAAGCTCTTAAAGAAATCCAATCAGTGCAGAAAAATTAATAGGCCAAATGAACAGGTTCCTGATGATACACCCTGTATAATAAACTTGCTATCCTGTAAGGTATCATGATCACATTAAAAACGAATACCGTCTGTTACCTAAATGATAACAAGTGCTCTCCACTTGTTCCTATGCAAGGCAAAATCGTTTAGAGATGTCCCCAACATTTCTTAAGGTTAAGGGGGCCTATCTCAAAATTCTGGGCCGGCAATCTCTTCCAATGATCCCTAGAACATATCCTGAAGTCCTGGCAGTTTTAGGGTGGTTGCTCAAAAAATGTAGGAGAAAATAAAATGTTATTGTTTGGATAATACAATTATAAGCACTGACCTTTGACCATAACTTCAGCTAGGAATAATATTTTTCAATGGGATCAGGAACAACTATAAAGTAAATTTTGAGAGAATTTTCATGAAGACTGGGCCTGCCAATAAACTCTTAAGTTGTAACACGAATTCACAGCAATGTAAATTGTAAAATATGGCATGTTCCTCTGACAAAACTCATTTTGGTTCCTTTCCCATGGGAAACCTCTAGTCTTTACAAGAAGGAAATGCTAGCCAGAGAACAGACGAGCACGGTCTTAGAGTACATATTTTAAGTTTAGCCTGTAGGCCAAGAAGTATGCAGGATTCATTCCCAGCTCGTGAGCATGATGTATGGTACGTTTAAACATGTACATGATCAGCATCTTCTGGTGTACATTCAAAATGGAAAAATAAATACCAGCCACTTTTTGCATAATAGGGAAAAATGAAAGAGAATGAGAACTCTACCAACATAAATATTTTAGATTAGACACGCATGCGTATAGTGCTACAGTTTACAGTGAATTGAAGGTGTACTGGAGGAGACTCTTGCAAGATTGATGATTAGGATTCAACTTAAAAATGTCTGATTGGCGATTTTCTTGACTGCATCACAATAAGGGGTAAGGTGACAAATAGCAACTCCAGCCTATCCATATTGTGAGTGCAAAGCATATCCCTAGGAAAGTACAACATGGGCCAAATTCTCCAGTCATTAACTGTACTAATAACTTAAACTCAAACACGTTTGTCAAACCTCATTGATTTACTCACCTGGGTAAGAAATCATAATATTTAAAATGACGAAATCTGGAATACTCCTTATTATTCAATCTGTATATAAATCTGAGTAATTTAATCCTTTAAAGCATTTATTAAACAACCTATAAGTTTGTATCTAAGTCTGCTGTTTTTACAGCAGGGCCTTTATGGAAGGAGCTTGAGCATGATACACTCTTGCATCTAGAAATCCCCTTTCCAATGGATTCCATGTACTCATAGAACTTACGTCTAATCTAACTCAGTCTGCTTTCTCAACACATACGGGTAGTGGTATCCCGTCGAAGGGGAAGCTTCTTGGTGACATCTTTACAATACCTGGCTTGATTCTTCATTTTTTTCTACTGGGATATTAATAAATAATATAAAATACACAAACAATATACAGATAATTCCAACAATAGAAAAGTATTCAAACAATATACACACAATATCACAATGACCCTATATAAAATGAAACCGTCAAAAGTGTACGAGTACATATTCTCCTTCTAAAATACTTACTGAATCACTTTAAAATCACAATTAACCTTGTGTCTAGACTCCCAATATCAAAAAAGTTTTTCTATACTGTAATTCCAGCAATGGTCATTATCCAGCTATCGTTAAAGAAGCGTCAACAATATATAAATTTAGAAATATCACCGGAATATCCTATAAAAGAATATAAAATGTTTCAAACAGTATACACATAATGTCACAATGACCCTATATAAAAATAACCCTTCAAAAACTCAATATTTTGAAAATCACCTTTGGCCTTGCGGCTACAAGTTCAAATCTAGACTGTCTATATTGACAAAGTTCTGTCTCCCAATATATAAATACATTTAAATATAACAAAATAGATCTAACAATAACTTTCCCAACTTTAGCAACTTATGCAGCTCATTGAAGTAAATATTAAGAAAACTAAGATTGTAATATTCAGCCCTCCCAAACGAAAGCAGTCCTATGAAACATTCACATTGGGAGGTCAGCCCATCCAGCACATTGATAAATACTGCTATCTTGGCATAATATTCCACAGAAATGGATCGTTTACAGCAGCAAATACTGAGCTGAGAGCCAAGGCTCTCCGTGCTCTCTATGGCCTCAAAGGCAAAATAGTTAAGGATGCCCTCTCACACCGTGCCCTTAATATTCTATTTGACTCCTTAATAAAACCAATCCTGCTTTATGGCTGTCAAGTCTTATGCCCCCACTCAAAAACCATGAGATACCTTTCAAAAATAGATGACAAAGCCAACCCCCAGCATACCTTGAAGTACATTGCACAAGACCACTATGAAAAATTCCACCTAAAGTTTATCAAGTGGTCTTTGTCTGTACATTCAAAAGCATCAAATATAGGTTGCTGGGGCGAAAGCGGGCGCCACCCTCTATTCTTTGAAGCCTGCAAACTTGCAATAGATTACTATAGTCGCCTTGAAAACACTGAAAACGAACTACTCTGTGCTGCATTTCACGAACAAATCATGTTGGGACTTCCTTGGTATACCAACATCTCAAAGCTTCTCACCAAATACAACTTCACCCCCTCATCTTCCTCAAAATCTAAGCTCTCCACCCAAATCAGTCATAACATGAGGGAAGAATTCGTGAATACCTGGAAAGCTGCCAAGGCCTCCTCGCCAAAACTAGAATTCTATAACTTAATTAAACATGATTTCGAACCAGAGGCATACCTACGAATCATCAAAATACCGGATGTTCGAAAAAGTCTGACAAGGTTTCGTATCAGCTGCCACAACCTCTACATCGAAAGGGGCAGATATGAAACCCCCCTTGTACCAAGAGAAGAACGTTGGTGCACCTACTGCTTTTTCAGCAAAGGGCTAAAGCCTATTGAGGACGAAAGTCACGTATTGATTGACTGTTTGCTCTACTCCTCAGTTAGGGAAAAATTCAATTTCCATCCCCTAAACATTACTGACCTAGTCGGTTTGCTCTCCAACAAAACTCTAGATCCTACCACACTCACTGCCACAGCAAGAGCAATCCATTCAATTCTCTCTGTGAACGAAAATTATACAGCCTATTATAAGAGCCCAGATTTCCACTCAAATACTGGCAAGTGCATAATGCTATAGGACCTTAAAATAAGATTGAACCATACAAACTCGATTTATCTATTTTTCTAAAACTAGCATTATATAACATTTCTAAATTATCCCTACACACTTGTAAATAATTAGAATTGTGTAACTTAAATTATTTCAGAATTACAACTATTGTGTACTCAATAAAGTAATTATCACTTTTGTATCCTTGTATCCTTGTATCCTTGTATCCTTGAAAATAAAAATCCCACCGATTGATATATTTGTACAGAGATATCCCGGTGCCTTAAATTGGTCATGCCAGTACTGTTATAATCTATAACCAGATGTTTAAAAATTAGATATTTTAGCTTAAAATTTAAATGTTAAGTCATAGAGCAATCTTCTCAATTTTAAAATTTAATAATAATATTTTACTCAAACTGTGATGTGGTGGCATTTCATACTTAACTAAAATTCAACTTTGAAAGTCAAAAGATTATTAGTGACAACAAAATTAGAGTTTAAGACATCCATTCTCCGCAGTGTTTCCAATATTAGAATTTGAGATATGTATTGATTGAATAATTGGTGATAAATTTAACTTTTGTTTTGTTAATTGGTCCAAGAGGTCGATAGACAAAAGGTAATTTGATCAAGGTGGACAATTGGACACACCACCCATCGCAGACGAGTGCTTCAAATAGCAGGTACAGGTCATTAAAACAGTTAACTTGTTAGATTTTGGGAAGTCTAATGTGACTGAAAGCGTCCACAACATACAATAGACGGGCATAATTGTTCAACCGAATATATTTCCACACATCTGTCAGGCTGCAAGAATGATTTGAAAGTTTATCTACTGATGACACGGAGATTAATTTCTAGGTAGCGCTCGACTTTCATAATATTATCATTGTAATCGTGGATGTGTGCGCGGCGCGTACAGTCATTACATTTACAGGTGACAGGTTTATAATTTTAGAGCAGTTTCCGTTTAATAAGTGAAAGTTAATTTATAAATACAGAATAGTTGTTTTGAAGATATTTTGATTCAAAGTAAGGTGCAGGTTATATTTCCACAAAAATCACACGCCCCAAATTGCACGTATTTGGTATTGCTGTAATTTTTTAAGCTTCATGAATTAAAATAAAATCTTTTGCAATGTATTATTGATATATCCACTAATTATACAAATCATTTAAGAGATTTTTTAAAAGAAAAACAAAATTAAGAAAGAAAGAAAGAAAAAAAGGAAAAAAATGTTTATTTCTTTGTTCTTAATTGCATGCAAAATTATGAAAAATAAAATATACATGCAATGTAATTATGAATTACGGATTCAGGATTAAACGATTCTTGCAGCACTATGCGCTGTGCCGCGCCTTATACCTGGGGATCCCAAGTTATTATATTTATGTTCATTGGAGCACGATGCGTTACTGTGCCGCGCCGCGCACTCAATGAGGCTTCTCACAGATCGGCTTACTGGGCCGCGTTCAGCCTGTCATTCCGCCAAATCTTTATTCGTTAATGAACATAATAGCCTGGGGTCCTCAGGTAAAGATCGGCGAGATGCGCTACTGTGCCGCGCCGAGCTGAGATGAATTGACATCGGGAATTAATTATGTTCATTGTTCATGATCATAAAGATTTGGCAGAATGACATGCCCATTACAGTAGTATATAGTAGTAAGGCCGCACCGCGCATGATCAAGTAAAATACAATAATTCTTTCGCAACAACTATAACTTCGGTAAATGGGCAAAATGCACCACTGGGCCTCTCCGAGCTGCGAAGAATTGACATCGTGAATAAAAACGAGTCGCGATTCGAAAGTCAAATTACAATGGTAATGTCGGACTCAATATAAAAAATTTAACTAAAAGTCAAGGGTATTTATTTATACATATAAAAATAAAATTGGAAGCAAATGGTAAATGAGAAAGTTAGACAACCAAAAATTTAATTGACGATGTCAATTCATGGCAGCTCGGCGCGGCACAGTAGCGCATCTCGCCGATCTAGCCAGTCGCTGTGAGAAGCCTTATTGAGTGCGCGGCGCGGCACAGTAACGCATCGCGCTACAACCAAAAATAAATTATCACTCACTTGTCACTATAGTGCGTTGCAATACAACAATGTCAAGCTTCATGTCAAGTGCATGGAATTTAAAATGCGGAAAACGCATTAAAATTAATAAATCATAATACAGAACGTAACGGAACGTATAATAAAAAACAAAATTTTCAACTTTTGCAGCTTATATCTTTATTGTGATCTTATAACGTGAAACATTATTCGATGTGCGGCGCGGCGCAGCTGACTATTCAAGATGTATTCATGCATTTTATATTACTTGTTTGTACTTTACTCGTATTAGCACAGCATTTTAGAATTGAATTACTAAGCTGTACTAGGTTTATGAAGAATTTTGATAATCACTGACCCATCCAATTATTTCAAGACATGAATCGAGCGCTAATACTAAAACTTTCAAAATCTATTTCCATTGTTGTCATTATAGAGTTTGACATTTACTGATCATTAATTGAAATTGTAAGTATTGTGCACTACTTTTAGATTTCTGTTACGCGCCATGAAATTACTAAATCGATATTTTACAAGTTTCTTTCCTGAAAGTGAAGTATAAAAAGAGTGTGTCAAACAGTATATATATACATTCAATTAAATCAAGTGATGCAATTGGCAGAGCACAATCAAATTTTAAGTGTTGCAATTGGCAGAGCACAATTCATTGCTACCAATAATTTTTTCAAAAACATTTTAACAAAACACATGATCTACTCCATTATAGGGGCAGGGATGAGGTTGTATACAACTTCTGATAGCTGAATCTCACGTTTGGTGTCCACCTTCTTTTCTCGGTACCCTCGTAGAGCAATAAGAGTTGTTCTCAACATTGCAAATCTTATCCTAGTTCTCACGTGTCTTACTACATCGCAGTACCTTTCCTTCCTTTTTCTTGCAATGAGGTCTGCTACTCTGTCGACGAACTGCTTACACTCTTTAGACATTCCTCCAGATGTGAGGAATACAGCCGGGGTGAAGGTAGCCTTCTCCACATTCAACACTCTCTCCAAGTACTCGTCCTTCTTCTCCTTCTCGTTCTCTTCGTATACTTCTTGAAGAGTTTTTGTCCTGTTTGATAAGCAATTGGGGTGTGAAACCCTTATGTCAAGAAAGGTCTTATCAAATGGAGTCCAAACTCCTCTAGCAGATACATCAAGCCGAGCTTGGTCACCTGTTATAGTCTTGGGGTTGAGGCAGTCACCCTCATTTACCTTCTGTAGCTGGGGTTCAACTTTTACATCATGACATACCTCACGAAGTAGATTTGCCATTGTGTCTCTGATGTTGTTGTGGGTCATTATCACGTAGCTATAGCCCCCTAGCTTACAGGTGAGAAGGTGGTCAAGATCACTTGTTTTCCCACATCCACAGGTGATGGGAGTGTTTGGTATCCACCAACTGTAGCGTAAGCAGACACTGTCTCGAAACTCCAAGTTGAAAGTAAATCGAAAATTTTACATTTTATAATTTGTTTGGTAAGTTATTACTCTGTCTTTCTCATTCAATCTCAGTTGTGGCTTGTTGATTATTCGACTTGGTTGACCATGTTGGGTTGCATTGCCAGTTGACTGGCACATACAGAATGAATGGTTAATAATTTAATATATATGTAGACCAAGGTCTGTGCACGGGATGCTTCCTGGAAGAATCCAGTTCTTTTGACCTAATCAATACTATAACTCACCCACTCATAGTTGTGTACCTGCACCGATTACATGTCATTTTTGCTTCAAACGGTTTACAGCTAGTTCCAGCATCAACTGATGATTACAGTCCGTTCAGATCATGTTATGCAGTTTAGTATAAACAATAGCACCATAATATGCTATAACTTATAGTATGCTGATGTACTGAAGTGGGTATCTCTTTAAGAAGATTCATGATCCTTACGGGGGCGCTAAATCGTTGTTTGAATTCGGGACAATTTTGAAAAACTTAACTCAAACACTAGAAAAATGTGCGTTTTGCTCTAGAAACACACTTTTTTGCAACGTTACCCCATTGCCCCTCCTCATAGTTGCGAGGCGGAGCCTGCGCTGTTTGTCTCGGCCTCGAGTGACGAGTGCTTGACAGAGATTTCCCCAAAAATTATTGTGCTTCTGAAATTTTGGCTCTGGTAATTAATAAATGTAACATGTACTTGTAAGCTGATGACAATTAAATAGACCCTGCGCGCAGCGCTTACGCCCGCACCTGAGGATTGCTCAACAATGTGTGGCTGTGTGCGTTTCACTTAACTTCTCTCAAAACTAGGTGACACTGGGGTTAGAACGCTGTACCCTCCGCACAGAAGGTTGAAGCTCTAACCACCCTTATAAGCTCTAACCACTTGTCCACCTTACATGTTAATTCATGTCCCAAAACAAATATCAAGTACAACCTGAAATATCCTAGCAATGTTGGTGTAAAACATCAGTCCTTAGTGTAGTTCTTAGTATATTTCTTCGTAGTACCATTCAACTGTTTAATGTAACACAGACTAGAGCTCTACATGTATTGATCCTAAGTTATACAACAAAACAATTAATAATCTTAAGAAGGCTTTAAAAAAAAAATATATAAATAAATAAATAAATAAATAAATAAATAAATAAATAAATAAATGAATAAATAAATAAATAAATAAACTTTACATCAATGTATTACAGTTATATTTAGAAAAGACCACAATATCTCCTGTGAGGCAAAAACATGGAAAAAGAGAGCTAGAAAAATATTCATGAGACTCAACACTACCAGACTGCAGCTGGATTGATAAACATTATGTAAACATCATAGTAAAATTTATTCAGCTGAACCAAAACACGGTGGTAAAACCATAATTACATTGGTGCCGAACTAGCTTTCAACTAGCTTTCAAGACAAACCTCTATTTACTGCACAAGCACTTAAACCAGATGAACACAACTGGAATGATCTAAATTGTGTGCTTTTAGACAATAGAAAATAGAGTAATTTGGTCTTAAAATTACTTAAATCCTGTACATAACTTTGTGGAAGAATTGATTGAAATTAAATTATTATCATTAATGATACATAGAGTACAGGATCAGATAATAGGCCATAAATTACTCTAAGGGATCCCTCACTCAGCAGCGTACAAGACATTTCTTGACTTGTATGATTTCATATGTTATGGTGCTGGGGTGAGGGTTCCTCACCTTTTTTAAAAGAAAAATGTAATAATTTGGTACATATTGCATGCTGATACCAAACACACAGCAAAACTATAATATGAAAACAAAATGACTACCTTTGAGATGATTTACAATACTACAAGCTATTGTACAACTTGGAAATACTTTGACACTGCTATTTTATTTTCGATTAGAGATTTTTGCCTACAATACTGGCTCATAGGACAATAATTTGTTCTAGCAATTACCGTTGCTCTCTAAAGAGTTAAAATTATATGATGCATAATTCAGATAATCCAGACAGTAATAAAGTTAAACATTAGTGACATTATATCTATATGCAGCATCATCATTCATCAGCGTATCTGGAATCGATTATAAACTCTCAGTATAATCTGCCTTATTTCTTAGTATGTAACTGGATGAGAGAAAACTACTGATAAGCACATTCAACCTACACTCAGAGTTCAAGGTATGTAAATGTTATTTTTTAGTTTGGTTGCATAAGTTGACATACATTGTCATTAAGGATTGTTAATCAGCAAGAAATGTTAAGCTGTGTCTTTGAAAGTGAAAAATCATTTTTATGTTTCTAAATGTAGTGAAATGTTTACTTTATGTATTGTGAATGTCATAGTAAGTTAAGATATATTAGTTCTGGATGTTTATCATATGAATGTAATTTGCCATATTATAATGTTTCTAATATAATAGTGCATACAATGTTTCTAATGTAATAATGCATCCTTAGTCGTTACACGATACAATTTTACTTTTTTTTCTGACTGCAAAAATAGGTAACATTTTTAAATGCTTTAAAAATCAGCATATATTTTTCTGCCGTCTAGCATGACATGAAAAGTGTGGAGAATAGAATATGATGACCTTAAGTCAGTGTGTGAGAGATGATCTATATATCGATATAACACTTGGTAATATCACATACCTTGTTACTCTAATCTTTCTTGCTTAGCGTGGAATGTACTTTCAGTGAATTGTGAAGTGTGTCAGTGTGAAATGAGTGGAAATAGTAGAAGTGCAAGTGCCAATAGTGTGCCCTCTTCCGTTAATAGGCGCTCCTCATTCCACACCAATACTCTACGAAGGAAGCCCGTCACAAGACGAGCCAGCATATCTGCTGATCCTGCTTCTTTGAAGGAAAATGCAAGGAAGCGAGCTGAAGAAAAGCGACTAGCGGAGATAGAACGTCAGAAGCAGATAAGGAAACGGAACGCCCTGAGCAGGAAGCTGGATTTTGATCCCGCCATGATGAGATGTAGTACTAAACAACCTGCTGTTCCTTCCAGTTCATCTGGTTCTCTGAACAGCATGAGGGGTGGCAGCCACCGAGAAAGGTCTTATGTGACTTGCTCTTTGTGGGATTTACAACTTGCACCGACGATTTGTGTTCATCCCATCCGCTCTTAAATTACACAATAGAGATTGATGTGTGCCTAAAATGAATTATATATGTCAGAAGTAAAGCCCCCATGTATGCACAATTTTAAGCTTTTTTACAGTCACATTTCGGTACCATAAACTGATGGTAATTCGTTTTAGACATGCATTTGATTCGTGTTTTTCCTTTGAAAAAATATGATTGTGGCAGTTTGTTTGACATTGCTTTTTCAAAGACCCACTTGCATCAGATACTATCGTCGATCGAGCTGAGGCATCGTTGCAAAAAGCCTATTGGCAAAGTGAAACATTTTTGTCTTGTTGCTGTGTTGAAGATTCCTAGAATCGGGAGACGAGATGAAATTGTTCCATTTTGCCAGCCTTTGGTTTGTGGGATTTACAAGGATTTCTTTCTTATCTAGCACTGATAGTACTCAAAGATATCTTAGCAACACATATCTCATGACAGTCGCATGTATTGAAAATACTTTTAAGTCTTTTTAAATCTTAAACTACTTTCTAGAAATTAATCCGATTATCTTGCTTTCCACGATTATCTCGCGATATTCCTTGAATAATTTCCAACTTTGTTCATGCCGCATAAATTTCGATATAATATAATTTCAATTCATTAGCATTTAGCAGCTAGTTTTTAACTAGCGTATCAGATAACATTGTATTGATTATAAAACTGTTCATTCATATTTTAACATTTTGTACAAGTAGTCGTATAGATTTATAACAAGATGAGTGTAAAATTGAATACATGTATGTTTGAGTGTTGACTGTTGGAGCATGGCATTAGTACAGCAAGTTTGCTGTTTGATTGTATTAGCAAACCGCTTTAAATGTACTGTTGTTAAGTAGTATGATGTTACTTTCTCAGATCAGTAACAGTTTGTTGCCGGTATAGATTACATGCTACTGTGTTGAAATCAACAGATCAGCTGTCATAGTTATAAGTCTGTATGTTGTTGTGCTCATTTCCAAAATAAACTAAAAACAAGTTATAACAAAATAACGGATCAGAAGGTTAGCTCGCGTCAAGATTTAATACTATACCCATGTTACCTACAATAAAATAAGTGTGTTGTTTGTGCTTGTGTAGAATGTTCTCCACTCCTCCACACACATAATAAGAATATCATATTATCAGGGCGTTTCCAGTATGATTTCACCTCTGCGTACACCCCTGTTGATAGATCCAATCAACTGACACAAAACTCTTCAAATAGATTTATCAACCTCCCTGTTGCTGTCTGATATCCAATTTACAGGAATTATCCCTGTGAGATAGAGTCTACATGCATCACTGACATAAATTTCCTTGAGTAGCGATGACCTATAGCAACTGTACACATCGTGTTTTAACACACACGCTGATGCGGCATCAGCACAACATATTTAAGATATTAGACCATATCACGAGGTAACACAAATACATTTCTCTACTTGTGCATAACGCCCTTTGAAAACATGTCAGTGGGTAAGATGTGAGACTTGTGAGTTAATGTGATATGAACTACATCAGAGTGACCCGTATCACATTACTTCAACTTCCTACACGCACTCTTCTCTTTCCACATCCTCCTCTACCGCCCATACGCCGTCTATATTTCTATATTTAGGTGTAAAGCTCAGTAAAAATCAGAACCCGTACGATTTATAGTAAAAGAAATTCCGCAGTCAAATGCGACAACATTCCGATAAGTCAACCCGCCAAGGTATGCAATGTTACGAGGCACATGCTTTTAATATTCTAAGTAGAATATTGCTTTGATTACAATGAGGGTGTTAGAGGACTGGAGTCCTGGTGTTCTAGAGAAATATAATAGTGTCCTGTGTATATCTTAACTGTAATACTAGAACTGTAGAACTGATAATAGACTCAGAACAGTCTAGACACACTATCTATTATAATGGCATTTCAAAAATATGTTGGAGAGTGTTTACGAGATGGGCACATGATACCAAAGTGAGATGTTAATTCTGCCTTTAGAAGTGTTGAAGCATGCGTTGTTAGCTTATAATACAAGTGGTGGTAATTTGACCAAGTAATGATCTATATTTAAATAAATGATTTGATGATCGTAATACATATCTCCCGGAAAATGTAGTCTCTTAATGTTTGGAAAAACTGGTTCAATATTGAAAAAATGCACTTGAATCTTATAGTTTAATCAACGAACAGGAATACAGAAATCTGATGTTATGAGTTCCAATCAAGTCAGTCCATATCGGGGCATTGCTTGCTGTACTGCCGTGTACTGCCTTACAAGGTTAACATTACATTGCCAGCTGTGAAAGTGTATTTTAATTTTAATCTCACTCTCACCCTCAGATATGACTCCCTTTTGTAGATTCCTTAGTGCAATTAGCCCCACTCACAGCCACAAAGCGTGTAATAAATAGGTTCTATAACATCCCCGCATGCTTTGTATCCCATGTGATTATATATGTTAGAGTTATAGAGTAATGTGTCTACCTACACTGGCGTATTGATTAGCTGCCAGTAGTACATATTATGGGAGTGCTATGGTGAGTGGGGGGCTGGTTTGACACTACTTATTGCATTGCTGACTGCGTGGTTACGGCTGAGTGCAGTGACACTGTGTATCTTTACACTATTGTATAATTGTACTGTGGTGTGTGCGTTCGGTGCCAGGAATGTGGATGTTTGGGATTCCTTTGTGAGACAGTTGCCAGTTGGTGGAGGGGGCCAATATCTGCCAGTAATATTTCTAACATTTGATAGTAGTTGGACTGTAGTGTTTCACATGTATAATAGTAGACTGTATAGTAACTCTGAGAAGGCGATGAAGACGCGGGTGTATCAACATATTACACTACCAATCTAACTAGCTCTTCTCACCACACTGCACCACCCCATCTGCCTTGATTGGCAGCTTACCAGCCCTCTCATTGGCTCTCACCGGGTCACGTGACGAGAACACAGCTCCCTGACTGGCTGCACTGGCTGTGTCCGGTAGTTGTACTGGTGTAGTAGTAAGCTGCTTCCTTCCCTTACCAAGGTGTATACTCGGCTGTAAACACGCGCAACATGTAACCATGGTAACTACATCCTGTCGTCATCGTAGTTTAGCTGACAACACGGGTGTTGTCATGGTGATTTATTAACAAGGTGGCGATTCCCATACCTGTTACCTGGTGATACCTTAATAGAGAACATTACAGATTGCAAGCCAAGCTCTGGTAGGTACAAGGCTGATGGCAGCTAATGGGTATTAATGATTTCGGTGAATTAACAGTTAACATGGTATTGGTTCTGCTCGCTGCGGAAATGTACCTTCTACCGTTAAGCTCTCTTCAAATGGGTGATTCTCTGTGCAGTGACTCACTAAGCGTGTTGTACTGTGTACATATCGACTAAAGTTACAACCTTCCATACAGTTCACTGGATAGTGCGTGATAAGACGGTAATTTTATCTACCGTACATTATATATCCGTAACACGATGAGGGTTCTGGTATATTTTCCTTGTAATGTATTATAATTTATAGGGTTTCTAATGACATTGACTAATGACACAAGATATAACTATGTTAGGGGGCTACAAATCCCTCCAGTTTTAAGCTTGTGATTTGTAAAAATCAAGAAACTGGAACAGCCACTTCCACTGGGATAACATAAATTTAATCATTTAAGCTCTGATATTTAATTATGAGCTCTGATACTTACATAATATAATACGGTACTCCGACTTAACACACTTACATGATGTAATAGAGTTCTCTGTGCTTCCGTCATATTCTGTTGGAGGGTGATGTTCCATGTTAGTCTTAACTTTCCACAGAAGCTATTTCCTAGCAAATGACGTGAAACCACTGCAGCTTTCTTTAGATTTGTTTTATAAACGTACAGGAAGTAGGGCAGTTAGGCTTCTCAAGTCTGTTTAGAAAATAAATAGAGGCGGTGGGAATATGAATTGTGACACCTTTAATATTAAATCATCGTCTTATAACTGTGAAGTCATAGTCTTATAATTTTGTGATGGGTTTCAGCTCATTCAGGTATAAATATTCAAGGTTAATGATTTCTTAAAATAGAACCCAGCTTACCCCCGGCCCCCAGAAATCCAGTTATTTTGACACGGCTAATTCTTTCACGAAAATTTGTCTAATGGCTTATACAGCTGAAATTTATGGTTTCCCACTACATTATTTAAATATATTATTATTCGTATTCAAAAGAACCAACCCACATAACAACGTTACACGTCACAATATCTATAAAATATAGAACTTTTCAGCTGTCGAAATGTCACGTTATTTCTCTCTACATAGCACTTCAATTATTAGAACCCAGCCTGTATTACGAACAGGAATGTATCTACATTCTACCCACTGACCAGGCTAGGCCTTTACGTAAACTGATGTAGAGTTCTATTTCGCGCTGGAATTGTGAATATGTCATATAACGTGTTGCGGAAGAACATTGCTGTTATATTATAATATTGATAAATCGCATAATGTGTAATTAAACATGTGCATATTTGGTAAACAATAAACATGTGCATATTTGGTGAACATACCATCCAAATATTTGGTAACGTATTAACACATACCAGCGTGTATTATATAGGTTTTGTCCGACTTATAGGCTCTCAAGAGTTTGAAAAACGAATAATGTAATGTTGTGTCATCACAACTAATTATTATAGTTACTAACTTGTTAAGGATAGTGTTTATATTTATTATTGAATATGCTGAAGCTTTAGAATTTTCTAGAATGACTAACCAATTATCTTAAATTTCGGCATTCTCGTGGTTTTCTCCAACAAGACGAGAAATATCATATCAGTGTATGATTCTAAACTATTTATTGTTTCGCCATTTATCCGAGGAATATCGTAAAGTTGAAGACGGAATCTGTGATTTAAGCCTGAATTAAAAAGATTCTAGTACAATGCTTATGAGGACTTGTCAGTTGTCATGGA